TCTTTTTCAAAGCGATTTTTCAATAAATCGCTTTAAAGATTTTTTGTAAAAAAAATTGACTAGATAAGACCCTAGAACATCAGATATCATCAAATTACAATGCAGAATATTTCTTTAGACTATTTTAAATTCATTACGTTTTGCAATCTATTTCAGTTTAAAAGGTAGGAGTCAATGGAAATATCTGAAGATCATGATGTCAAATATTGAGACTGGTAAATAATAAATGTAAAAAATATATTCTGCGTTCTAAATAGATAAAATTTGAGATATTTAGGGTGTTTAGACTACGTAATCATATTTTGGATAAAGAAAAATATGATTTTTCGAAAAACTACTTGCAAAGAAACGTAATAAATCAAGGAACAAGTACATCTAGAAAGCTTCACTATGTAAAAAAAATCATTCGAATCGTGACTTGGCTAAATTTAATGGTAGGTTCCTATAAACATCTGTCTGCAAACTCTTCATTTAAGATATATAGTGGAAATATATAGTCTATCTCAAGTTGCTAAAAAAAAATAAAGGGCAACCATATAAATAATACTATTTCACTCATAGAAAATATTACTTATATAATAATCGATTTTATTTAGAAAATTTGATGATTTAACACTTGTCACAATAGATACTTGGACATAATCCAAAATTTTAGCAACTATCTCGAAAATAGTGGATTTTAACATGCAACAGAGGTTTTTATAAACCCTCTAGTACCTTATTAGTTTCGAGAGTCAAATATAGCATACATTTTTTTTATTTGTATTGCTACTTTACAAAACTTCTGCTTCAAATCCCACTTTTCTTAAAAAAAAACAAGATAATAAATGTATTTTTGGATAACTCCAATTTATTTAGAAATAGACATTCCAATTTATTTGTAGAAGCATTGTTTAAGCAATGATTTATAGCAATTTGTATAATGATATTTAGAAATTTTCATAGTAGAGGAAATTCGAATATAAGGTTAGCTGTAAACTAAGTAAGGCAGATATTTGAAGGAATTTTATAAATTTTGTATTGTCTTTTATGATTCGGCAAACTGTAAGGTTTTATTATCATAACATACATAAATAATACTTGAAAGTCACACTTTTACTTAGATTTTTATTTAAGCAAAAAATTACTCAGATACGGAACAATTTGTTTTCTGCCTATCTATCCCATCATAACTAATGAAAAATCAGTAAAAAATATTGCTGTTACCTTCAATTTGTTTGTTGAATATATTTGACGAGATATATTCTATTAAAACTGCTACATTGAATTAAATGTTAATATTATTAACAAAAACTATTAAAATAATGAAAGGATATGTCTCTTTTATGAAGATAAGAAACTTTACTAAATAGATGTAAAATTAATTAAAATTTACCAAACATTATTAATTTAAAAACATAACAGAAACAGTATATGGATAATTAGCAACAGAATTTTCAATTTTTAGCTTGTAGCAAAGCCAACTGGTCTTTTTTATACATTTGAAAAAGTAGCTACGTTGTAACGAAATGTTTACAAAAACTGTATATCACTTCTCTTCAATTTTTCAATAAAATATATTTATTAGTTACTTAAATAAATCATTTTCTAAATACCTACATTAAATGAAAAATGAAATATTATACGTTAAAAAAGGGACTCCTATATTTTTGTTAATAAACCAAAAACATAGCAGTGTAGATTACACTTAAATTCATCAACCAGCGTACAGACAAAACTAAATTGTAAACAATACCAAGTGAAAGCCACTGACTCGAAATGGTTTTCTTGGCTTTACTTCTCTTTCTGTTCGGAAATAGCCAAACATATTTGGGGCAACGTGCGCTCTGATAATTTTATCTACTAATGTCCCAGTTGGGACATCAGATAAGCGGTTTCGCTTGACATCAGGATATTGGCAAAATACCTGTGCAGAAGACGACTTTATCATTTATGCCTGATTTAATGTATAAGTTTTAATGGAAACCGTACACATTTTTGTGCGATAGCACTGCACTGAGGTCGATATTTCCATTGAAATTAAGTCATCATTCTTACACAGAACGCTTCAATTTGATTAAGTTTACAACAAACATATTTCGTAGAAATAGCTGCCCCAACTTCTAAATGCAATTACTCAAATTCGAAACGGCAAAGTTTGAACATCGAATTTATTGTCCAGTAATAAATTGTTCGATACACTAAGTGTTTGTGTTTATTTTGTTTGTTTACTATTGACTATTTGTTATTTATAAGCAAAACAAGATCGTATAGACGTCTACAACACTTTATTTTCACAGTAAATGAGACCTTTCGCTGTGATACGACCCAATGGAGTTCATACACTTGTGTCATTTGAAAACTATTGCGGCTATTACTTTGAGGTTATATTTTCAGGTCAATACATGCTTACGACTGGGACTGAAATAGACAAGGAGAAAGGATAATGATCTCTAAATCATTTAAATACCGAATTACTATAAAATTGTATGCTGGTAGCATTAGAAGCAAAGCATACTTTTGATAGTTAATTTTGTCAGTGATTTTGAGACTTAATCGTTGTTAAAAATTCGTGAATGACGATTTAAGTATTATAAAAACATGTTTCAACCATTTTGAATGGCTATTTCTAAGAACAAACTATTTATAAAGTAAATTTTAATATTTGTAAGATTCGAGAAAAAAATTGTATACTTAGTGTACTTAAATTTTAGATACTAGCTGATTTAATTAAATTAAATAACAGAAAACAGGAGTGTTATAAAGCAGAAACGAAACAATTTATGTAAGCGTTGTTGTGACATGTTATTAAACAATTCTGTTATTTAACTACATTCCTCGACATCCTCTAGTATTTCATGAAATTCCCTGTTCTACTTTCTTTTTGGTAGAGTTTATTTTGTATATGATATGACTTATTGTTAGTTGCACAGTACAAAATCATCAACCCAATCATTATTTCATCCTTCTCATAAGTGACAGCATGTTGTGAACAGATTAGGTCAGCATCTTTAGGTCCCAAACTAGCTTCCACGCGCCTCGAGCCTAGACAATTTAAGACAACCTATTCAAGCTTCCGATCCTAGCCTAAGCCCCAGTAAGTGCCCACCAAGCCCGAATGCACTTACCCGGAGACGCAGTGCGCTTCTGGCTGGTTGCCAGCCGACGACGAAGAGACCACCGTTGGGTAATATGTTGCATGTTTAGTGCATCGTGGAGAAGTTTGAGCTGTGCTTGATGCCCGTTCTTATTATTTAAATAGTATCAATGCTGACAGGCTGTTTGTTTAATCAACCGGCATTTTCTGCGAATCGATGGGAGAAAATTCGTAAAAAACCTTGGAACGCTGATTTGCATAACCAGGACACTTACAGAACCTCGATCGTGACACGAAAAATTGGACATTTCGTTAACACGCAACACTATAAAAAAACTGTGTCGTGTAACTTTACCCAGCCAGTACGCCTTTCGTATATCCAGTGCATCTATTCCCGAACCAATACATTTTTGTAAATACATTTTAATTAAATATATAGTGTTTCAATTCAATGAAATTATTTCCTATTCTTGTTTCAAATAATTACTAGGCAAAAACTAATAAAAAAATTCAACCATGTTACATTAGTTTGTATATTTTGTTGTTTGGCGTATTTGTTAATAGATATTAAACTAGTTTCAAGTCAGGATTCTAAGAACGTATTAAAAAATATATTCTTCATATTTTTTTAACAGCGTAATCAGTTTTGTTGAATTTCTGACTGCTAAAAAGACAAAGAACAGCTTTGCTCACGATAGACTATAATCATAAACGTTCGCCTTTCCATTGTCGCGGAAAATGGGAAATAGGCACGTGTCACAGAAAGAAATGTCATCGCCTTCGAAGAAAACTACTCAAATAGACTTCCGCTCAACTTCATTTCCTCCAGTTCCGTTAGACTAGACACATCGAGGCATTCCATCAATATCCAAGTTGCCTCTTATTTACATATAATGTAAATTCGAATTCCGTCAGCACATCCTACTTGAAATTTTGTCTCAGTTTAATTTTAGCATCCATGGAAAATGGTATCCATTTAAATGAAACGTATTTTGCAATTATGTGAAAGTCTGAATAATAAATTATGAAGAATGAAAGGCTTGTGCCTAATAAAATTAACAAAAAACAGAAAATTGCATTGATAAAGAGTATCTACAACATGATCAAACAGGAGTTTTTCCTGTAACATATCCAGAGTAAAAACATGGGAATAAGCATTAAACTGAGCGAAGGAAAGTAGTACACCATGAACCACGGTATCTCAGTGCCTATTTTGACAAATACCTGTGTATCAGTTTCCTAGACCTAAAGAGATAAGTAGCAGCGCGAGAATAAAGAAATTAACATCGCAACTTCCAAGTTCCTCGGGACATAAATCATACAAGCGCAAACCTTCAAGATCTCCACGAGATATGTCAAAGTATGAAAACTTTCATAAATCCAAGTTATTCAACAGAAGCAAAACGCGTTTCTGTTTTAAAAAGCGGGAGGTAATATCCAAACGTTCAGTGAATGAACTGGGTTATAAGATACGGTCTTTTGAAACTATCCAGTTATTGATATCGTATAGACAAGTGAAAGTCTATTATTGTAACCTTAACTTACAATCCTTGATAGGCGTAAAGTTTCTCTGGGTCAGATCGATATCAAAAGATCAATTCTTGTAAGTAAACCGGTGTTACATTGTCATTTAGATATATTTTTCTTAAATAATTCTGAAAATAATACTATTAAGAGCTTAATGAGCTTAATTAAGGGTGTTTGTCGGTATAATTAATTTGTCCTATACATCATGTGTTTCCTGTTAGTGCGAGTTTATTTTGGAGCACACAGCAAATATTTTGGTTTCCTGGTTATGCATAGCGAATCATTTAACAGTTAAAAACTTTAGGAAATGTCTTTCCCTGACATCGACTCGCAGAATGTGTACGGCCGGCTTACAAAACGGAGTTTTTGCCGCGTCTAATCACTTGATTTTTGTTAGGACTTCACTCTGGACTTTTACTTTCGACAATTCTGGACGGACCCACGTTTGGCGTTTCAGAAGAGGCCAGGCGTCGAGACGCTGTCAGTCGGCTCGGAATTTATTAAGAACATCTGGGTGCCCGACACATTCTTCGTAAATGAGAAACAATCGTCCTTCCACATAGCCACCACACTAAATGAATTCATTCGGATACATCATTCGGGATCAATAACACGCAGTATTCGGTAAGTCTCTTTATATGTTAGAGTTTTCTTTGTAGTCTAGAGGATAGAATATAGCTAATAACAAGAACTCGATTTTGATGACAAAGTCAGTTCAGAAACTTCGTATCCTCATTTTAAAAATCTGTGGGCAATCCGTGTGCCGCTCTATGCTCACGATACACAATGCTACTGACTGCCATAAAAACATGTACCGTACACTCGACCAGGCAAAACTTCAAACCCACTTACACGCGCACAAATGACAATGAAATGCATGGTCAGCAGTAAAAAACCTGGATTAGGGTGTCCGTACTGATTGAATAAATTGATCGATGCGAAGCTTTAGATCAGAGAATAGTGGGATTACTAAAATATGGCGACTACTTCAGTCGCCACCATTAGTAAAAATACCATATATTAAAAACTTCAAGTTAAACCAATAAACTTTTTTATTTAATATTTACCTACAACCTTTTACAACTACGTTACTACCATGTCACTTTAATGTTAAAGTTACTTTCCGGGTTGTAAGGGTTGGAATGGTTTGGCGTATAAAAGCGATTTTTTGTTTGACAAAACTTAAGCTAGTACCAATTTAATGTATCCATTAAAATATATTCTTTAAATATAATGTATTCATGATATACTCTTCAAGAAACTAGAAACAATGGGATTGTTAATACAACAACATATCCTACTGGTACTTGTCAAATGCAATCATCAAACAAATAAAACTCCAGTAACATTGGACTGTTACCCATACACATAAAATCCACATCGTATTTTTACTTGCCACATAATTACCGTCAACAGTTCCCACTGTAATGCCGTTGTCATTAAACTTTGCACTTGCGTATTATTATATTCCATCATCATTCATTAACACTGAGAATCACAACTCCCATCCCATGCATGCGTTAGTAGTGCATCGTAATAATACATTGTTTGCCTTAACAGGACCATTTACTTCTAAATACTTACCGAGCAGTGTTAATCTATTTCCAGGCGTTTATTAATTTCCACAACGATTGTTTCTTTAATGGCATGCCAGGTATCGCTGTTTAGGGAGGAATATGGTTAAAAGGGCGTGTTGTAAAGTTAAGGCATTAGCATTTTGATTACTAGTGACAGTCATTTTTCATACTTTTTACGTTGTAATTTAAGAAAATAATAAATTAAGGTGATGCCTCAGCAGTATACAGTAGCCTTTACGCTGACTTCCTCGCTAAAGGTTTAAAATTATTTTACCTTTATTAGGTCGTTCAACTCTCAAGCAATAACTTTTACGAAAAGTCACATTTTTGTCCTGTGTTTTGTACCCATATTTTTCTTTACTTTGTATTTGTTTATCCAGTTAGGCAAACTTTGTGTGACTTGCTCTTTCTAAATACTGGTACATTCTCTCGCTTGCACAAGTCAACGAGAAGAAAAGAAATGAAAAATCAAATTAGTTGATATAATTCATTTCACTGTTTACCACCATATTTCTTGTCAAATAACATCCACAGAAACCATTTGACATCTTTTTACTTGTTTCAGACTCACAATTACCGCCTCATGTCCAATGAACCTTCAGTATTTTCCGATGGATCGGCAACTCTGTCACATAGAGATAGAAAGTTGTAAGTGTTGTTCTTAAGAAAACCACACTGTGTGTATTATATGATATTAACAATTATGTATATTTTGTCATATACCAACGAAATTACTTGTTATTTAACTTTAATACAAGAAGGCATCAACAGATACCTGTGTCCGTGCTTCTGTGAGCCTTGCCCATATGTGAGCACTAGGGTTTTCTGTATAGAACACTTTTAGTCCAGTGGTGGTTTTGAAGTTTTCATTAAAAAAAAAATATTAAAAATAGAGTAAAATTACATAAAACGTTAGTCAATTTTTCCGTTGAATTAAAAAAATAAAAAAATACACAGTCATATAAAAACATTCGAAAATTTGAAATTTTGAACATATAAAATTTGTTTAGTTTCTTTTAGGATATTTTTTCACTTCATTATCATTTTTTTAAGGGACACTTGGTTGATATGATTTTTATATATAAAAATAGGATTTTCATATGTATTTAAAACTAATTTTTTAGCAAATGCTTTTGTTGTTGATTATATACAGGGTCTTCAACAAAGGTCAAAGGCCACATGATCACGACTGTTAGTTAACCAAACTTACACCGAAAGCAACAACTAACTCAAAATTCTCTAAAGAGAGAAAATGATTCAGTGGCGTACATATTACATTTTCTTTGCAAAAATAAAAATCGGCAAAATATTTTATTTTATTGAAAAAAGTCGTTTTTCCTTGCAAAATATGTTATTAATATTAAACTTAGAAATTTTGAAAAACTATTGAATGTAATTGCAATTGTTGTTACAGCAACCACCATTTTTATTTATCAGGCTACTTTGATTGAAATATGAAATAATACTTCTTAAAACGCTTGTAACTTCTAGACAAAAACGAATCGGATCTATGTTCATATAAGAAAAAAATATTTGAAATTAACTCAACTACTATCTGTCAAGTTTATCACAGAGCTTGTAGAACACCCTGTATATTATTTTTGATGCGACCAAACAGAAAGAAAAATTTAGCAGTATGAGATTGAGATCAAGATTTCGTGAGGGCCACAAACCCCATCTAATAAATAAATGACAGTAAAATTCCTGCGGATATCCTGCAATTGCTGCTATAGAATGTGATGTACCTTCGTCTTGTCGTTATAAACACCACAAAAAATTACGAACGTCCCTTGATTAAAAATTTGATCTAGGGTGCCAATTAATGATATTTCCTTAGTAATTTCTGAGATACCAACTTAAGAATATAAAATTTACTCGACGCTAAACTGATCTGATCTCATGGGACATTTACGAAGGCACTAATTTTAATTGGAAAAAAAACCACCACTGGTCTGTGTATAATAGCACCCAGCACACAGATAGCTCTTGATCCTGGCAGAGCAGACAGACACGCAGAGGAGCGGATGATCAACTTGCCAGTTTGAACTTCCGCCCCCGCAGCCGCAACCCCCGTTTTTTGCGTTATTTTGTGTTTATAATTTTATTTTTCTCTGCTGCGCTTATGGAAGACTGTCTTCGTTTTGTTATTGGCCTTCGGAATATAATGTTAAAATCGCAAATGCAAATATACAAGAACGTTAAATGTGTTGGCAAAAACCTTTTCTATAACAACTTTAAAACTGACTTTGAATAATGTAAAAATTAGTTTGAGGACTAGGGACTAAAGGACTAAAGGAAACATACACTTCCAAGAACAAGCAATGCCTCCTAATTGCTAAATCAGTTTTATTGTATGCACCTTTCTATTAATGATACTTAAATGATAAAAATTGTTCCACAACTTTGTTAAAAGAAAATTTACAGAAATTGTTTATGTCCTATTTTTTATACATTTCATCACAGTGCCGAAAAAAAAATAGAAATTATACTACCCTTTGGCAAAATTAGCTAATCACCTTTTGGGATGTCATTGGTTCTATATTGGTATACATTTAAGCAGGTTGAGTTAATACATCATAATTTTGTAGATATTTAGATATTTGAAGTTTAGTTTCCAGCAAAAAGGTTTGTCTAGTCTTGGTAAAACCTACTAAACATTTTGTCAGTTCCTTAAACTGCATTTCTTATCTTATGTAATAAACTTGAGAAGCGTTGACAGATGTCTTTTGCTTATTTCATTATTAACTGCTGGATGAAGAACAGATAAAGTGACAATTTATCGAGGATTTTCCAAGGGCCAATAGTAAAACATGGCGGACGACCAACTCTCCATGAGCGCCGCGCGATTTGTTTGTTGTGGTTGGTCTCGGTCTCCTTCTCTAATACAGCACTCGCGGAAGGACCGATACAAAAAGTGTTCGTGAGCCACGGCGCTGCAGTACGGCGTACTGGGCTCACCTCGCTGATGCACCCCGTGTCGGCACCCGGAACAGCGGATGCTGCCGTCACACACACCGGACTCACGGACAGACCGATAGCGACATGCAGTGCCTCAACGACTGGCCCGACTCCCGGCCGGCAGCCACGCATGACCCACTGCATGGTCCTCACCAGTCTCTGTAACTATCCACGGGGCCGTGGTCTGGTCTACATCTCCCAATGCGAGTTTTTAGTTGCAGATCTGAAATAACCCTTGTGCCTTCAAAAGAACACTACAGTAGTGTGATTCTTCCAAAATCTAGAGCACATTTTGATTCAAAAGAAGCAAGAACGGTCATGCTCAGACATTTTTGTCAAGCTGGATAATGTTTACAGTACTATGATAAAACCCGTTTAAAGGGGTTTATTATGTTTATTATACACATTTATTATAAATGAAAAAAAAAAAAACACTAAAAATACATCCGAAGGAGTGCATTTTGATTCAAAAGAAACATAAATGATCATTCTCAAAAAATTTTGTCAAGCTGGATAATGTTTACAGTAATACCTATAATAAAACCCATTTAAAAGGGTTTATTATAAACGTTTATTATAAATGAAAAAAAAAAGCATAAAAAAAACATCTGAAGATGGTAGCCAATATGAATATTTAAGAATGTTTTGGACTATTCTAGTATTCCCAATTTTTTCCTAGTGCTTAGAAAGTAGCAAGAGTTTGTTTGTTCAATCCTTAAAAATAGCGATCCACTCGACATAATAACTATTTCCTCCACATAGAGACCTTGCCAAAATCTTCCATTATAATTCTGGTATTAGCAGCTTGATTTGATAACTCTTACTAAAAACTTCACAAAGTAATAAAAATGCACTGTCAGAATAAGTATGTCCAAAGTGGTTGATCAGATCCAAATGAAATTAGATACAAGTCTTTACATTATCGATGGCAATAATCTTAAAGAGCAATAGTTTTTTCTTCATTTGCAATGACGCAATTTCAATACAATCGTCTTTACATCTAATAAAATTGTTTGTGGTGTTATGGGTAAAATACCAAATAAACTCTCTGCTAAAGTTGAATTTCCTCCCTTCGGTTTTAGTTTAAAATCACGCGTTGGATACACCTTGTATACACAGAAATTGTAAATGGGATTTAAAATATAGAGTACTTAACTTCCAAGTCTCAATACAGTCAGTCTTTCCGTTAATCGAGAGTCCTTTATTTAGAGCTCTTTACACTTTGAAACAGACGTTATTCAGATCGGTCAAGAGCCACTTTGTTATTCTAGTTCTCTGGACAAGAGGACAGGTGTGCGTTATCAGGCGACAAAATTTCTTTATTCAAATTCTATGGCCGCCGCAACAGGTTGAGACAATGAGAGACATTCGTACTTCAACTTTTAAGGAAGTCGACCTGTTGCCTGTCTTTTCCTGAGTTGATTCACTTATCTGACTGCTTTAGCACGAGTTTATAACACTGCGGTTCTTCGTGTTCGATTTTAGCGTTTCGTGTCTTCTAATTTTTTTGTCATCATTCTATTAAGCACATTTTATTTTAATATCCACAACTGAATTATGCAAAATAGTAGAAACTGGTTGCCTTTGGAACAGTCAATTTTCTTTTCCTCAAAAATGTTATGATTTTAGTGATTTCAATAATTTTTTTCTATGTAAAATGAAACTTTACATTTCAATACATGAATACGTCCTATAAAACCTAGCATGGTGTAATTCTCGTAGAATTGGACAGGACAATTAATTTCCTAAAAAACAATATAGTAGTATTTTTCATTTACATCTAAAAAAATACTTCGTAAATAGTGAGATTAGTACGTAAATTAAAATGGCGCATATGTAGACCAGACATGCGACCGATGAAACATTGCTTTGCACCTGCTTGTGCTTTTTTCTTTGCTTTCTCGGAGTTTATGTTTTGTATTTATATTTATCTTCACATAATATTAATCATTTTAGTGTAGTTTGTAGTACACTCATTTAGTGCTCAACACACACGGTCGGTCGCACAATTTCAAAATGAAATTTTTAAAAACATCAACAGTTTTTGGTGTCGCAAACAACGAAAAAATGATACGACATTAAAACAGCAACAAATATGGAATTAGAGAAACAACAAACAGGTAACTGTGTACAGAAGTATCTAATTTAAAACTGAGATCCAATTACACTTATTTTAAAAAGGATTATACTTACTCTGGAAAAGGATTAGCTTGTCAATTTGTTTTTATAATCGTTTATAAAGTGTTAATCTTCATGCCACCCAATGCAGTGGCCACGTAAATTACCGCATCTGACACCTATCGACCGGCACACACACACACACGCCCACACACACATACACACACTGCTAGAAATTGTGCGGCGCAGCCGTGTAGAGTTGTGCGTTCACGACCCAGTGGCGTAGTCTCTGGGGGTGTCGCAGGCTGCATCCGATGAGCTGTCGAATGACCTGCTTTGTCTGTTCTGGCGGCCGGGGTAGTCGGGTACACGATGAGGGATATCCGCTATAAATGGAACTCGGGATTAAAGAGCGTAGGGATAAGCAAGGAGGTGGAGCTGCCGCAGTTCCGGGTGCTGGGCCACAGGCAGAGGCAGACAGTTATTCACCTTACCACAGGTAACACAGCTCTAACTCTTTGATGACGAGCCTACTCAGTATGGTGTTTGTGGTTCTATATTTTCGCATTGTTCCGTCGCAATTTGCGTTCTGTCGAAAGTATATTAAGAGTTTCTACGTACCTAGAACCATTGCAGACAATACGACCAGTCATTGTTTATAACACAGAAAATCTGTTTCCTTTTTAGTTTACAAAGTAGATGCATGAACTTTCAGTTGTAGATCCAGATTAGCTAAAACTCTACTAGAAAAAGAGCATTCGAAAACCCTGATTGAATTGTTTAAGAACATTTCTTGTTGGATTACATAAAAACTTACCTTGAAGTATTTTCAAATTGAACAGATTCCATATTGATTCAATCCAAATGGATCTGTATAAGATGGTTCTAGTACAGATGACGAGGGAGTAATTCATAGTCTTCTACAACGTCAGTTTTCAAAAGAGCTCAGAGAGCAAACCACCAGTTATTAAATATCATCATTGACACTCGTGAGCTTCTCTATTGCAACAGCTTATCTTTGTCAAATTTGTACAACCGTTTACGTTCTTCTACATTTGCTAGCTCTCTTATTGATAATTGCTACTGTTTTTTTATATTTTGACTATTACTAGAGGAAATCTGTTACCAGAAAGAATAGCTATAACTTTAACATTTGCAATGTTAAGGACACATTCAAGAAATTTTGACATACTCTCCCAAATCCAGTGTTTTTCAGCAAAATAATTCCAGATCTTTTTCCTACTGACCAATGACCATGTGAAAGACATAGATAGGAGGTTATCAAATTATATCATAAATCATCATAAACGAATATGTCATGCATATTAACACAATAATTAGTGTTCACTATTGTCACTTATTTATCTGGCAATAAAAATATATTGAGAGTAATTACGAAAATAAGAATTAGACTTATGATGCATCTTCTTTCATAAGAAATCCTTGTGAAGAGGGTAATCACATTTATGTTTTACATGTCTAGCTAGGCTTTTCATCTTGGGAATATATATGTACAGTTATAAGCAGAAACAAAGGTTTTATGGATATGCATTCAAAGGAGAATGGAAAAACGTGACTCTGAAAAATAACGCAAGATGTTTCATTAAAGAAATGAGGCATAAAAAGAGAACACAATTCCTGGAAAGGGTGTCAATGTCAGATACTGAGTTAATGCTCCTGTTTCTAATGATGCAGCTATTCTAAATTCATATCAAGGTTTATCTATTTAATAACCAGTAGTATATTCAGTAAATTCATTTTTAGGATCAAAATAAATTCCTCCATGTTATTCAAGCAGATATTCCGTTGCTTTGAATTATTTTTTCCACTCTTCTATAAATAAAATATAACCTACATATGAACTGTTATTATAATCTATACCTATTCACTCAAACATACGCATTAAATATATTTCTTGGAATATTCAACGATTTATTAAATATTTTCCACGACTTCCAAGAACTCGTTCAATTGGAGGAGATATTTAAAAACCAACATATTTCATCCATAAATTCAATTATTGCCTATTATATTTAGCATTTAGAAATTTTAGATCCGCTATGAGATATACTTTTGAGGAAATTGATACCCATCTAGTTAGTTGATTGTGATATTACTCCCCAAGTCAACCTACACCAGTAGAGCCACCTGACACAGAAAGCAAATTGCGACGGGACGAGTTTAGTGTGCAGAATTTGTTACAACATGAAATCGCGTCTTGACTGTGCCGTTTTCCTCGCTTCCTTCCCTTTTATTTTCGTTCTCCCCTCACCCCCGTTTTGGTTTGAAATGGCTGCGGTGCGTTGTCGCCTGTACACCGCAGCTGGCACTGGCTTGTGATTGCAGTCGGTTACACCATGCGGGATATCCGGTATAAGTGGAATGAGGGCCCCAACTCGGTCGGGGTGTCCAACGAGGTGTCGCTGCCCCAGTTTAAGGTGCTTGGACACAGGCAGAGAGCCATGGAAATCAGCCTTACCACAGGTACCTCATCTGGGACATGGTAACCTACCAGTAGAGCTACGTTAAGACACAGCCCATGCCCGAACCCAGCATCTCATTAGGAGCTATGATTTTTTTGCCTATAGTTTTGCATCAGTAGTTTCATTAACTTCAGATCATCTTTGCCTGGATGTCTCATGCTCCCATCTTCCATTTTAATGTTCTGGCAAATACAGTTTATTTTACAAATACCCAACAAATGGAAAAAGCATTTCAATTATCTCACAGAAAAGATTTTTTAACGTTTCATAAACTCACTGTTTTCTTTATCAAATTGACAGTATGGTAGAAATACCCAATCAAACAAAAGGAGCGACTGAGAATGCCACAATTGAATAATTAGAGAAAATATCCATTGTAATATTCTAGAACAAACAAAGAAAATAGCACATAAACCTGGTGTTTAGATAATAAAAAAAGTTTGATTATGTCTCCAGCATTATCACCATATGATTGAATTCAATATTTCACTTGATTTACTCTTCCAGGACATCATAAAGGTTAAATTTCATAAATTACTTGCATGATGTAACATAATTCCACATAGCAATAGTTTTATATCCCAGCATGATCAGATTATATGTTTATATTTTCACATTTTTGCATTTAGTAGAAGATAATATCGTTTAGATGTCAAAGTAATTAATAACCAAATTTTTTTAAAAGTATTTTTAAGAAAATGAAAGCAAAGTCAGCTCCAGCACTCTTTCTGTAGGATTATTATGAGTTTCATAAACGTAATCGTGATATCAAATGAAATTCTCGACTTCTTGAATAACTGTGTTTCATTTCTAGTCTTTGAAGGTTCGTAGAGCCCTTAATAGGAAAGAGTTCCAGTTTTTTTTGTTTTGACAGAAGACAAACGAAAAAATGGTCATTAATTACTTTGCTTTCTGTACCTATCCTGGTGTGTACATTGAAGCAAAACGAAAATGCTCATAATTTATCAAATCCCACTAGGAAACTACTCTCGCCTGGCTTGTGAGATCCAATTCGTACGTTCGATGGGTTACTACCTTATCCAAATCTATATCCCGTCCGGCCTGATCGTCATCATTTCCTGGGTAAGCTTCTGGTTGAACCGCAACGCCACCCCAGCCCGAGTAGCCCTAGGAGTCACCACTGTATTGACCATGACCACTCTCATGTCTTCTACCAACGCTGCGCTACCGAAAATTTCCTACGTCAAATCGATAGACGTGTACCTAGGGACCTGTTTCGTCATGGTCTTCGCTAGTTTATTAGGTAAGTAAGACTTCAATGCTTTTAACCATACAGTCCTAAAATGTCATCCAGTTCGTCTGGATTTCCATAGTTGCTTCAGAAAACATTCAAACAAATCCTATGAATTAAGTTAAACAACATACAATAATCAATGAAATATATCATCTATTAGTAAAATCTTTTGCAGCTATTTATATAAAAAATTACAAACATCCTCATTACTCTAGTGCCATCGAAAGAAGCCTTTTTGCAGTACGAAGTGAAGCACCTATTTTGCAGTAGTAATAGATGAAATTCAAGTAATTTATGCTCTTTCTGCGACAATAAAATCCCGTTAACTGGATGGTCGGGATCAAATTTCAATTAAAAGTCTGTAGTTCTTAACCGCCCCCAATAAAACGTCTGGAGAGGCTCAAGAGTTTCAGAAAAATTAGACTGAAAACTCGATACGGACGAAGTGAGACGGTAGATGAAATAATTGTAAATAAAACCCCGTCTTTATACCCGCCATCAACTCGCTCAATTATTTACAAGCGAAAACCGTATATGCAGGATATTCCGGTCATAATATTCCGCTCCCACATAAAAAGATTCCTTTATCGCGTGGTAAATTATTACCCAGGCGAGACGTTCATCTCATTCTATGACCTTTAGCATTATGTTGCCGGGATTACCAAGGGGAATACTGTATTCCTGAAGAGAGAAACTTCTCTCCTCCGTATCAGGCTGTTCTTTGTTCCTTGTGTGACTTTAATATTCGGGAAATTGAGTGCAAGCTGAGTGATTTCTTGGGAATCATTTCGAGAGGTGTTTTAGAGAAAGTGCACCTGGTAACAACTCACATTTTGCCCTCTTAATGTTAATTGCGGGAATTCTGTGGGAATTTCCTGTATTTTGATGAATGAGACGTCAGTGTGCGCATTGCGGACCCTTAATGAATGCATACAAATGAAGCGTGAAAATAATTATAACTTTGTACTTATAATGATGTACGCCACATTTTTTTCCTGGAAACGGGGGAGTATCTGGGTCACATAAATTATATTCGCTTCGGCAAATGAAACAAGACCTACCTCTTCTTTTTTTATAACATTGACAATTCCATATTCATTTAAACTGACTTGCGGATTTTCTATGAAATATGCCTACATATACTGTTGGCTAATTTTAAATCGATTTAGCAGACAGGAAATTTGAATTTAAGTAAAATTTTTTATAATTATATCTACGAAGACACTTAATAAAAAAGTTGAAGGGTGAAAAAAGTGCATATTTAAACATATTTTATATATTTTTCTAATAAATAGAAAGGCTAATCAAATCCAATTGAATCTGTACAGGTCTTTTGACGATCGATTGGTTCAGAAGATCAGTAAAACATAAAGGAAAATATACTTAATTGCTAGAAAAGACAATCTGCAGAATATTGGCGGTTTTTCCTTCGCTCGATTACTTAATTTCATAGTTTTAACACTAATGTTGTTTGTTCCAGAATACGCCACCGTGGGTTACATGGCAAAACGAATTCAAATGCGAAAAAATAGATTTCTAGCAATCCAGAAAATTGCTGAACAAAAAAAATTAAACGTGGATGGTGGTCCAGATGGAGATCATGCTCCCAAACAAACAGTGAGTAGTCGTCCAGTTGGTTAAAAAGCACTGCGGATCTATAATCATATAAACTTTCCCATCCAAAATCAAATCCTCATCCACCTTGTATTGTACAAATTATCAAAGAGATCCCTATACTTGATTATCAAGCCAGATGACCGTATTACCGTGTGACCTTTATAACGGCAATTTTGAACATCAAAGCATGAATATTTCCTCTGGAAAGACGTTTCCTAGTGGCAAATATGAAACCATATTTCTAGAAATAAGCCGACACCTACAACTCTCTCTAATTTACTGAAACATGATCAAAGAGTCAGGCTCTAATAATTTTCTGTTACAAGACTATTAAGTGAATCACTGCATCAAAGTTGCAAAATCTCTTTCCAGGAATTTCATGTTCAATTCAATTCAGTTCCAGAATTATTAGATAATTTATCATATTTATTAGAAAATTTAAAATCCAAAAAAGAGATAATTGAGAATATAGATATATCTAAGAGATACAGCAAGTGCTTTGAAAAACAGTTAAAAATAACTACTGAAAATGCTATAACCAACACTGGTCTTTTCCACAGTTGAGGTTCCACTCTCCAGAAACCAAATCTGCCATGGAAAGCACCTCATCATACTCCATTTTTTTTTAATTGCAAAAATTACCCTAAAATAGCCGAAACATTGCTTTCACTAGCTTTCCCTTTGGATACAGTCCTAAAAGTAGATTATAGATGTGCATAGACTATGCCGTCCATAAGAGTTCTTTATTCCGTCACAGCTTGGTTAATACAACCTTCACATAGCTTATGATACAGAAAGTCTTCAACCAGACCAATAATATGCTTCCTGGGACTACAAACAACATTTGATATTGATCTGAAAGTATATTTGTTACGATATCAATTGGAACCTGTGAATCTTAAAGCACAGGACCGTCTCCACTTCTCTTGAAATTTATTCCGATGCTTTAGCCATGATGTGTCTCGTAATTTATACTCGAATAGCCATTGGGCGAGTCCGGTATTGGTAGACCAGTCTGCCTGATGTAGAATCGACGGCGGCGCGCTGGTCGTCAAAGCAAACCTGTATTGGTCCACCAAGTCGTAAATAATTTTTTGCGTGGTATTCTAGGAAGATAACGAAATAACCCAGGGAAATCCCCAAATATTCGAGCCGGTTTTTGTCCAAAGCGTTGAAACAAACTCAGAGATTAAAAACAAAGATTTACACGTACCAAGTCAACGTATTATTTTAAATATATATGAATGTTTGAAAAGAGAAAATAGTGAACAATGTGATAAAGAAATTAGGAAACAGATTAGCGAATTAACTGAGATATCAAAATCGACAATTTATCGCGTAATTAAAGAAGGAGACGTTATTAATCACGGTACAAAGATGAAACGGAAAAATACAAAATTAAAGAATATTGACGATTTTACCAGAGATGTACAATTTATATGTATAAAGAAAATAAAGTTCCTACTTTAAACATGATTCGAGATAAATTAAGCGATTATCCTGATTATAATTATAAATCTTTAGATACTCTACGACATGTTTTATTACAATGCGGTTTTAAACATAAAAAACTTGACAATCGTATGGTAATTATGGAATCACGACGTATAGTTGCACTTCGGGAAGATTATTTAAAAAAAAAATCGAGAATATCGTCAACTAAATAGGAATATAGTTCGGAATATAGTATTTCTAGACGAGACAAGACAAAAATCTTCTGGACGCCTATGAATTCTGTAGAGTTTATGAGTTAAATGTTTTTATGCGGTTCCAACTGATATCGTAACGACTATAACTGCACATTAACAAATATATTCTTATTTGTGAAAACCATGCCTAATATTTAATAATTGTAGTCTGTATTGCCTACTTCCATTTCATGTAGATTTTGTCATATTCACTATCTTTATGGCCTTTCTGGGTGGCTCTGAGCGGGTACTTGTTAGTGGGAACCTTTGTTCCAGGAGGTACGCTTCAAAGTGCACGACCCGAAGGCGCACAGCAAGGGCGGCACCCTGGAGAGCACGGTGAACGGAGGCAGGGGCGGCGACCGCGGCGGGGACGAAGAGGCTGCCGCCCCCATCCCCCAGCACATCATCCATCCCAACAAGGACATCAACAAGCTGTACGGCATCACCCCCTCTGACATCGACAAGTACTCCCGGATCGTGTTCCCGGTGTGCTTCGTGTGCTTCAACCTCATGTACTGGATAATCTACCTGCACATCTCTGACGTGGTCGCGGATGACCTAGTGTTCCTGGAGGTGGACAAGTAAACCGAGTGAACGAGGATCACATGAACATTCGTGCATTTGTAACACTAACTGAGACACTAGACTAGAGTGGATCCATTCAACGACCGTACCGTACCGTAGTCTTGCGCAGCTTCCACGACCAAGGAGCCTTCCATACAGGCGGGAGTTCCACATTGGCTGTGCCGTTGGCACCGCTAGACCCTCTCAAACGCTCGCACCAGCCTAAAAGGGTGAAAGGTCTAGCGGGGGGCTCGCGGATTGACGAGAACCGATCTCCAGTTGGTATGCGAAGCTTCTTGCTCCACGACGAGTCGTGTTGTACATAGTTCCCAATAACCCGCTGTCCACTCGTCGTTTCATCATCACATTATCACCGGCACATCGTTATATTATGAGGCGAAGTATATTATATCATTTATATTGTTTCGTTAAGGGAATTCACAAAGTTTAATTGTCGTTACGTTCTAGCCGCTGGTAGTCTAGATTCGATTAGTTATGGTCCAGCATGTTCGCAGGTTATCAGTTCAATGTAAGCCGCCAGGCAGTTATCCCCGCGTGAATTGACGCAACGCTTATCCTTAGTTAAAAAATTTCGTTGTTGTGATAAAATTATAAAAGCGGGATTGACTCTTCATGGGAACATGAATCGACTACATTCATCGGGCGAGTCTCTTCATTCAGGGAGATCTGCCTGGCGGTACCGAGATCATCACGGCTGGACTATTACCTGAATAGTTTATTTACGCCCATGTACATAAGACGTTCCTGTTTTATACTCCTCGCACAGAGCCCAAAACAAGAAACAATTGCAATTAGGGTAGTCCGCACGCACACACGATGGAACACTTACCCAACACGGAGGCGATGTATCCGTTCTCCTTCAGGGATCCACGCATTATTATGCAAGCCGTCGGGAGAATCGCGGCGAAACGAAATTCTAAAATGTAATATAATATTATTGTAATTAAATTATATATACAAGAAAACATAGGTAGAACACGCGCTCGTAGCCAAATGGATACCTAGTGACACTGACTGTATATATTAGAGCCACAAATATTAAACATTACGCATATTAAGTCAAATGCCGGGCGCGTCAGACCAAAAGGAAGGATGCGATGCAGACATTGGACCGTTTAAACGGTTGATGGGTTAGGAAAACCAGCTGCCAAAAGGAGGAACAAATTCTTTCAACTCAGTTTTGATTCACTGGATGGAAGCCAAAATCCAAATCGATCTCATTTACAAAGTGTTCGATTAAGCATCTACACGGCTTGTTAGAAGATTCCTCAGGTAAAAATATATGGCGACTCATAATTTAACGAAAAAAATTAAATTTCGGTAATACTTCGAATACCATCAAACCAATTAAAGAGAACACTTTAGGAAATGGTACCTATATTAGTTGCAAGTCAGGAAATCCATCATTTTCGAAATAATAACTGTTTTTCATGTCATTGAATGTTGAAATTTAAATTTATCATTTGTTTCGAATAATTTTGCTAACCTCTTGATGTATTCCAATGCTTAAGAAATATTTACTTGCGTTTCTATCTCAACTCGTCGTTATTAAGAAATTCTAAAATCAGGAAATTACTTCAAAAGCATTTACCTACGGTGGAGATTGAGTGAAATAGGTCCAGTTCATCCGTCAAAAATGCGCTAAATACATACCATAAGTATTTCAATAATAAGTTTGGTTTTAGGAAATAATTTTTCTGTTTAATTATAAAATTTCTAACTACTCTTACGTTTTATTTTAATTCTTATGTATCAATGTTGCCGTCTAACATAAAGTGAAGCAAGAAATCCCTTTTATCGCGAATTATTGATAAAAGGTTAAATAAATAAATCTCGAATGTTGTTTTTCTTTCTATTTTCAACTATTGTATTATTTTTACTCAAAATTAAGCAAAATTGCATTATTTTGTGTCCAACTTATCCTCCAGTAAGCAGAAAATTACTACTAAACATTACTTTTGAAAATCCCGCCTATAAAACTTACCCAGGTACTTAATTTGGTAAAATTATTTTTGAAACATTACCAAAATTCAATTTTTTTGCATTAAAAAGCGACAACATTTTATCATAAGAGTCGATTTTTCAATGGGCTGTTAATAATGCTGTTTTCGAAATGATAACTGACTGTCAAACTGTTAAAAGATTTATTTTTCGGAGCTGAAATAGTACGTGTAAATATTTAGTTTCTGTGAGAATAATAAGACATTTAAAATATTATATGACGTCACAAGTTCAGATCAAACTGAACACTTCACATCTCACATCTGTGCCAGTATTTTCAACGAGTATTGTTAGTGTGTACGTGTGTTTATCATCATGAATATTTGCTCTTTCACTTTACATTTCGGTTAGAAAAGCTAAGATATAACATCGACTGCCACTGTCTTATTTTATTATTGCCTTGACTTCTTGACTGGTTGTTAGCTAAACTATCAGAGCAGAGAATAGTAAGCTATTAGCGATTCAGTAAGTCTGTTCATTTGCGTTGCTCGATCCAGAGTAATTGATTTTAAAATTAGATTGTTTTGACAGTTAACAGAATTTAGAAGCAATAAAAGCAAGTTTGACGTTAAGATGACAAAGAATAGTCAATAAGTTGAGTTTGTTATTATTTTTGTTCGACATCTGAACCTCGATCAAGAAATCAGTAATTTTTATGATTTACAGCAAACTGTATACAAATGAATATCAGATCATATGCTTTGACAGGAATATACAGCATTTTGTAATTTTACTTTTCAGATATGTTTCTGGTAACACAAATGAACAGAGCTAGTGTTCAATTTGACGAAAGAACCTCCTTTTCCCTTGATGCACCAATCGAATCTATGGTGTTCCGAAATCTCAGAAAATATTTGAGATCATGTTAATGATCACGTTAATGTAGTTTTACCATAATTAATCAACACACGTGAGCTAGTTACTTAATCAATAGTTTTACACGTACTGAAAAACCGGCCAAGACATGTTTGGTTCAATTGCTCTATTTTGACCTCAGGAATCTGCCAATAAGCTTGCTCGGCCTCTGTTATCAATATATTTTTCCATTTATTCGAACATGTAGATACTGCCTTACTATTTCATTTCACGGTTTAACTTTCCCTGAATATTCGAACAATAATGCTATGGCATGTTTGGAATTACGTATCTTTATCACGTACTTCGAGTTCTGAATTCTCTACCAAGTAGCCCATCAACCTAGCCCCGGAAGGCGCATCGTTCCCGGAACAGCTCGCTATTGAAGGTCGAAGTAATGTAGCAGTTCGAAGAGGTGGTCCATATATAACAAAGGCGCGCACCCGAAAACATCTCCCTAGTTCGTACACCGTACCGTCACTCCAGTGTTTAATAATTTTAAGCACTTAGCACAGAGCAAGATTCTGGAGCAATACAGAGTATTAAAAAAAAAACTTCCTTCTTATGAAAACGACACGCTGCATCCTGCACCCTGTAACACAGCGAGCGTACCGAAAACTGACGTCAGCGTACGTACGTAGACGACGAAGACGTACCCACCACCACCAGAACGGGACAGACGGACAGACGGACGGAGCCAGAGCTTGCTATTGTCAGTGACGGCGGGCTCGTTGGGGGCGGGGCTGGCGCGCGCCCCAACGGAGGGCTCGGGGCCCGTGCCTGCCCCCACCCGCACTGCGAGCGACTATTGCTCACTATTAAATATTCTAAATGATAAGAAGAGTTGTATGTACTATATTTGAAACATTCCAATTATTTATTAACTACGTATTGCGTAGGTATATACTGTTTGGCGTTTTTATTTAAATAAAAAATAACAAAACACAGCCTGACTTTCTATTGCCCCACTCACAGACACGTCCCCGAGCCTGCCTTTGGTCACCCATCCAAATTCCAGCCTGCGTCCGTGATGCTTACCTCGGCCAAGACACCCGGCTAGGCGGTCCCCTTTTATAAAGACATACTTGGTTTACTTTAGAATGTAATCACGATGTCAAAATATTAATCAATCATAAACTGGAATAAACACATTTGTGACGTCACATATTTAGGCAACCCGCAACTAATTGTCATATTTGAAATTGTACAGACCGAATCTGACCGTTGTGTACTACATAGATACTATAAAAATGAACAACTTCAAATTAATTTATTTTTACAAGGATTTGGAAGTATTTCAGAACAACCGACACGTGTTTCGTAAAATACATACACTAATAATGTGCTTAGAACTTAAATAAAGCAAAAATTTAACATTTGCCGTGTTATTGGCTTGTTTGTATCACAGTATGTTGCAAATCCTGCTACCTCAACATACTTATGGTGATTTAAGGCAGCAACTGGACTTCTGACAATCAAATACTTGGTTTTCGATTTGTTAAGAACTGAAATAAACGACTTCATAACTCATCATTACAGCGGAAGCCACTGTGCGTGCGCTCAAAAGTCAGTGTCATAGAATTCTCACTGTCTTCAACAAGGTTCATTAGAACTTCGATTCCCAACTCATAGATGGCTCCGCATGTCCTATATGAAATAGTAAATTAATGAAAAATACAGCTTCTTATCAGTCATTATTCCATTAAACATGTAATCTATTTCAATACATATTTACTTTGCCACAGAGAAAACATGTTGTTCTCTTCAAATAACGTAATTGGTTATCAACTATTTGACAAGCATGATGTAATATGTATACGGAATAACCTGTAAAAAACGTCTAGTGAAGTTAGGAAACATAAACGTCCTTGACTGGCGCATACTCAATTTTCTAATGCCATCAGAAGACGATATTGGTCCATTTTGACAATTAAATACGAATTTTTATCAAAGTTGACCTGAACTTTCGCAGTAATCCGTCACCACCCAAGACTGATACTAGATGTCAGCTTCATGATCAGTTTCTATTCTCATGACCGATGTTAAAATAAGTTAGCACTAACCAGTGATATACGCGTTGGTAATTTTTCTTTATACTCGTTTACGAAATGGCTCTACCACGTTTTTTCGTTCGCGCTTCGAATCTAGTGAAAATCGCTCCAGTTTTTAATTCACATTCCAGCAAAATAAACCCCAAGTACGTTCACACATCAAGCAGCACACTCGCAGGTACGTCAGGTGATTATTTATATCAATTTAACCTATACCTAAACGGTTTATCTCTATTTTAAGCACGTCTCTTCACGGAAAAACACGAATGGGTCGAGATCAACGACAAAATAGGCATCGTAGGTATTTCACAATACGCACAGGTAAACATTTAGCATAATGTTCAATATGTACCTATAATTTATTGATAATTGTTGTCGTTACAGGAAGCTTTAGGTGATGTAGTTTACGCCCAACTGCCAGATGTCGACACAATAGTTAAACAGAACGGTAATATTAATGAAAGAAGAATTACATTTATTAAACACGTTATTGCTTTGCAGAGGAATGTGGTGCTCTTGAAAGTGTGAAAGCAGCGAGCGAAATTTATAGCCCCGTCTCTGGAAAGGTTATCGAAAAAAATGTTCAAGTCGAAGATACGCCATCTCTTATCAACACATCGTGTTACGACAAAGGTATAAGAGCAAAGCAATGAACATCCTAGATATGTTTTTAAGTTATTGCAAAGGAAAACATTGATTAATTAACATCATTAACAGTCCAATCAAATTACACTTGGAGAAAAGAAATTCGTTCCCTTATAAGTGGAAATGGTAAAAGGGCTTATAATAAATCTAACTAAAAATAAATGCGTGAGCAGGGGCGGCGGAGGATTGATTTGGGGGGTTGAAAAGTTATGTATCATTGGGAAAAAAGTATCCACTACAAAAGTTGTAGATCATGCAAAAATCTACAACTTTTGTATAGGTCATTTTTTAACATAACCTCAAAATTTCCGAGAAAAATGCGAAATACCTTTTTTTTCTGATTTTTCGTTTTTTATTTCTTATTTCCGCAAAAATTTAATTTTAACGAAACTTGGTGAATGTATACCTCTCTGTGTCTTAAATAACCACAAATTTTTTTAGATAAAAAATTAAGAAGTTCTGGAATATTCATTTTTTCGGCCTGAAACACTTTTTTTTCTAAGAAAAATTCACTTGGAAAAATCATCGTACGAGTTCTGCCTGTAATCATGTTTTTGTTTTGACATATACTTTTCGGTGAAATAAAAAATCTATAATCACAGTTCAAAAGGATGCTCAAAAATGCAAAAAAATAAAAAATGACTTGCAACAATGAATTTTTCAGTTATTGTTGATAATCTGTTTAAATTAAAAAAAAACATTCAAAAACTGATTATACCATTCAGTTCTACGGAAAAATTAAAACAAAACTGTGTGTCATTGTTTGACCCAAAACTTTATTTTTGTACAGTATTGCTATAAATCTACGTCGAATTGCAAATGTACAAATGATAAATTATCTCTAGATGATTTGAGATTTCAGCAATACAAACTGTCAACTGCAAAATCTACTGTTGACGCGAAATCCGAAAACCCGAAATTTTGCAAAATCGTTTTATTTTTTTTGGGTTTATTTGAAAACGAATTTTAAATAAATTGCATCTTTACATTGCCACTTCTTTCCTCTATCCAATGGCGTCAAAATTTTTGCAATCCGACGTTTCGTCTTTAAGGGGCCATCATCAGATTAATTTAAAGAATTTTTTTAAATATGTCGCTGCTATTTTTATGACAAAATTTAAAATCATTTTTTAATTCTGATTGTGAATTAGATGATATTACTATTGTAATGTAATCGCTTAAAAATAATTTAAAATTTTTCCTGGGGACGGCTCTGAACGCTTTCAAAATACATGTATATATTGGAGGAGAGAGCGAGAAAAAGAATAAAAGTCAATACAGCAGAAAATATCCAACAAATTTTTTTAATTAATGATTTAAAAAGTTGTACCTAATAAAAAAATAATACGAATTCATGAAATATTTTATTATTTCTAATTAGTATTGCTAATAGTAGTAAAAAAAATTGTTGGATATTTTGTGCGGTATTGACTTTTATACTGTTATGACTTCATCCAATAGATATTTTGAAAGCGTTCAGAGCCGTACTCAGGAAAAATTTTAAATTATAGCTAAAACAAGCTAAAAACTTTTTAAGCGATTACAATAGTAATATCCTCTAATTCAGAATTAAAAATGACTAGATTTTGTCATAAAAATAGCAGCGACGTATTTAAAAAAATTAACCCGATGATGGCCTCTCGAAGACGAAACGTCGGATTGCAAAAATGTTGACGCCATTGTATAGAGCAAAAAAAGTGGCGTTATAAATATGTAATTTATTTTAAAATTCGTTTTCATATAAAGCCAGAAAAAAATTAAACAATTTTGCAAAATTTCGGGTTTTTCCAGATATCTCTGGAACTACCCGGAATTTTAAAACTTTACACCGTATATCTATGAATTCATCAAAATTAAAAAAAAATAAGTACACTAATCGATCCTACTGAAAAAAATTATTATTTATTTTATTTATTCACTATTCGACTTATATTTATAGCAATACTGTACAAAAATAATAGTTTTGGGTCAAACAATGAGACAGTTTTTTTTTGCATTATAGCCCACAATTGATAAAGTGACTTAGTAACTGTCTTATTAATTTTTTGTAACGTAATGATAAACTTCTGCTATAAGATTGAAAAGCGTTTTTGGTGAAGCAAACATTTAGGTATATTGCTCCAATCCATAGAAAATTCTTAAGTACTTTTAATAATTTAAGGAAGCTAAGGATAGTCAACCTTTTGAACAATGAAAACTTATATTTTGGATTAATGAAAATGACTTTTGTAGGTTGGCTGTTCAAAGTGGAATTAACGGACAACGGCGAAGCACAGGCTCTCATGACAGAAGACAAATACAAAGAGTTTCTCAAAACACAGGAGCACCATTAAATAGTATTAGTTGTATCATTGTTGTGCAAATAAATTTGTTATATAAATTGTTTTTTTAACTCCAGTTCATCCACAATGTCATGGGGACATGGCCTAAAGACGAGATACGTTTTATCATAACTTTGGGTTATCATTTTGGCCATCAAGAAGTGGAATCTCTAGTGCAAAGTCTAGAAACCTTTAAAAAATAATAATAAAAACAGTTGAGCATGGCAACCCGGCCACTGTAATTAGCAGCAAATTTTTAATTAATTTGTGTCTAAAAATTAATTCAGATATTTTAATGATTTAGTTCGTTGCACTAGTTTTAGTTTTTAAATTGGAAACAAAATGGTTTATTGATTTCTATTGTGAACATCAAAAACATTTTACAGGAAACCGTGACTTGTACATAAAGTAAATGTGAATATCAGCAGCTGACACCATTGGTCTTAAAAGCTACGCTATCATTGACACATTAAATAGGTCTGTTGGACTTTGGCATTCCCTAAATGTATCATTGCAAATTTTCCTTATCAGATATCATTGCAACAGAATTTAAGAACTTTCAACAGTTACAAAAAATACTTTATAATTGCAAAATAAATAATACTTTCAACTGTATTATTTTATTATTTCCAAACATCTAAACTATTGAACCTTTGTTTTTTTCTGCTTTCTGTTGCCCCGAAAATAAAAATTGTACAAAATTTCTGTTTCAACAACAATATTAGGTACAAATTACTGGTTCATTAATCCTATGGTCATTAATAGACTCTGTGTTTACCTTTACCTCTTACACTTAAAATTTTAAGTAGTTTAAATGACAGTGTGTGTTAATTTATTTTAAACTATGCAAATAAAATGATGACACTCGCATTCTTTCGAAACAGAGGTGGTCTAAATGTCATCTAAACAATAAGAAGCAAAGTATGTAATTTATACTGACGTTAATTACACAAATAATGTAACACGATGAAAAATTATATTTACGTCTAAATCCGAGTCACTTAATTACTTTCTAGTGTACCATCATCATCAAGTAAACAGTAATTTATCCATAATGATTATATACCTATGAAAAACCTCATAGATAGATTAATATGTTAATTAATTAATTAATTGTTCAATTAGAGTTAATTAAAAATAGTTATACCTGTTAATACTTCTTTAAACCTGCCCTGTTTGGATGTACAAACAGTTTCAATGCGAGTGAAATAATTTCCAACACATTTGCATACAAATGGAATGTTTAAATTTTTTTAGATTTGAATTATTACGTTACCCATCACTTCACCCAAGTAGAACTACCCTCAGATTTGGATCATGTAATTAGGATATAACCTCGGTAACAAAATTTTAACAAACAATTGCTGTCTATTTCATAATCTGCCCTAAAAAGGTGGACAAAGTCTCGAGACGCAAATTGAGAAAATGAAATAGTATTTGTATAGTGGCTGTTGCACTAGATACTTTTTTAGCTGTACAAATAATTATCTATGTCTGCTTTTTATCAAATCAATTAGTATGGAAACTTTATGTCCTGTTTGTTTTAAAACAAAATATTCATAAGGAATCGCCAGATATAAAGTATGTGAACCCATCAATTTTTAATTCGTGATTTCTTATCTTATGGGATATTATTAAAACAATTTTTTTTGATACCGCTCTTCCAAGAATTGTGACGACGATAACTAGAACGGTTTTATTTTATGTAAATATTCCCATAAGATGATTTATATGTGTTTCTAATTTAATCGCCATAAACACAAATTGAGGTTATCTGAGCAAAAGATGATGGTTAAAATTTTATCTATGTCTGGAAAGCCACGGTCTGTCCACACAAATGAATCACCAACATCATGCAGATAAAGTTACATAAGATCAAAAAACGCCATTTTGATAAAACATTTACATTTTAAAACCAATTGAACTAAATTATTTACAAGTGCTATTTTTCTCTCGTAGCATTTCTTCAACAATAATATAGAGATATTTCAATGCTCAATATACAGATAGTCTTCTTTAAAATGTTCATAAACTCGAATTAGATAGAAGTTTGTGTTTTCCTCAATACACATTGCAAAAATTTCCAATTAGCTGCAATATGCAATAACCAATTCGTATTTTTTTTGGATCAATAAAATTGAAACAGTAGTGACAAGAGGAGGATACCAAACAAGCTGCAATAAGCAATATCTTCTCAAGGAAAGAAAAGTTGTATCTCTGTTTATTATTATGTGAATGTTAGAGTTAAAGAAAAATGTTATGACTAGTGTCATAAAAATTATAACAGTAATGTTTTAATAGCCTCATAGTACGATTCAAAGCAGTAGGATTACAATATAATAAGTTGGTCGTAGATAAAAAAATAATGACAGACAATATTGGGTCGAAAATAAATACTTAAATGGATTTAAGATTGAGACAAGGTTTTTGAATATTAGTTTTCAAGATATTTAAATTTTTTCTCATTTATCTAAAAACGTAAACTTTCTTAACAAATAACATTGTTTAGTGAATGAGGCATGAAGGCAAAATATTTCAAACTATTAACAAATCAAACTATAAAAAACTTCAGCCATTCGATTCTTTTTCTAAATATAATTTTTATATCGATATGATATTTCATTCAAAGGCATCATTTTCTCCTCACAGTGTCAATTATTATATCATCTAGGCATCATCCGTGGTATTATCTAATATTTATAATAAATTAAATGCTACATTTAGTAATATGTACATTATATCTTCTTAATTTTTGTGTTGCTTACTACTGTTGCTTGTTGGTACAAACATGTTATTTTGCCCTATTCTGTATTCATTGACACCTACAACAAATCATACTTTTGTTTATGTTCTTATTCTTTATTTTTATTATAATTTATACAAATTTTTGTATTGTTAAGTCATCGTCTTATAATTGGGTTGGATAAATAAAATAAGTATATTTATTTTTAAATAATAACCGTGTTTCGAGTCGATCACACACGAAGAACTGGCTTATACGAGCGACCCCGTTGAACCAATTTCGTGACAACCTCGAACTTTTTTTTTTGGAAAAATCTGTCACCAAAAGCCCGAGTGCCAGCAGATCACGCAAAATTTCCCAACCTCACGCACCACGTGCACAATCATCTATGTGCATAGTACAAACTCATTATCGTCCGACAGAAAATCATTAAATATATAGCGTGCGCAATAGTGCGACCCAGTAACTTACGTGAACGCCGCCGCCGTATTGCGCTACCGTGGATTCCGTGCAGTTACCCCAAGCCACCGACTCTCGGTAGACACACACAAGGTGCACTTATCTGTCAGAACGGCGCGGTAGTGTGACGGACGTACGAAAATGCCGTCTGAAAAATCGGTTTACCAACCCAACGCCGCTCTCGCAAAAAATGCATACGTCTCTTCTTTCGCTCAGTACAAGGAGATGTACCAAAAGTCCATAGACAACCCGGAGGAGTTCTGGGGCGACATCGCCAAGCAGTTTTACTGGGAGACGCCGATAGATATTAACAGGTTCTTTAGGTACAATTTCGATGTTACCAAAGGACCTATTTTCAATAAGTGGTTGGACGGAGCAACCACCAATATTTCCTACAATTTGCTGGACAGAAATATAAGGAACGGGCATGGGGATAAAGTTGCGTTCTACTGGTAAGTTCTTAAGTTCATTCTTCCTACCTTTAGTTAGACTTTAAAAATAATGGAATTTAGAAATGACTGAGACTGAATAATTTTGAGACTATTGACATAATCTCTAAGTATATATGTACATTGTTTAAGTATTTTAACAAATATTTAACAATACGAACGGAATTAAAATGAAAATAAACGAACAAATAAGTTTTGTTACTTACTTTGTTTATGCCTTTAATAAAAGTGGTTACCTTTTAATAATGCGTAACAATTAACTAACGTTTTTTATATAACATGTATTATTCTGATTCCTATTTCAAGCAAATTCTATTCTGTACATGATTTTGTGTTGAAAAAATGCAACTTATACCATAATAGTACAATGATTATCCAAACAGCATAGCTATGTTGCTAATGTTACATCAATAAAAGTGTATTAACACTGATAATTATTTTCAACGCTCTTTCCAAAGAAATAAATGACAAATAAGAGAGATATTGGTTATTGAAGAAAATTAATTTACTACACTACAAACAATCAACTTGATACAAGTGAGCTACAAAATATTTATCTCTACACAATCATTTTTCTAAAAATCTTATCTGTAATCACCGTTGAAGTTGAGACTAGAATTTGAAATATTTCCACTGATAAAATTAAAGGCGACACCTTGTCTACCTGGATTATTGATCGGCTCGAACTTTGCAGCGCCACTGCTAGCTCCTTGCAGTTTCAATATAATTTTAGGATTCCTTGAGAGCCTTGCAACTCGTGTTTTCCAACCACTTAAAATTTAAATATGCCCTAGATTTTGGTAAAAAAAATACTTAACCTAAAATAATTAGAAGAGTGGATACAAGAACTTCTTGACATGCGCTCTAAACTCGGCGTCTGATTGGGCGAAACAAGCTGCACCACATGGTCTGATCTCGAGACCGTTAGTTGGAAGATGATAGTGAATGACTATTGGGATTTCTTACTGCTTTCGATTGACTGAACAGCTATTTCAGCGAGAGCAGTGGCGCAACAGCATATGCTTTCTATAGAATATATTGAATTCGGACAAGACGTAGCTAATACAATGAGAAACATCAATGTTCTGTTAAAAATGTTGTCACAGTGGTTGTGAAAATTCGAAATATTTGGAAATAATCAATTTTTGTGACTGAAAACATACATTATTCTTATAAATTTTTGTGAGATGGTAATTTTCTTACCTGTATTTACTTATTCTGCTTCGCTTCTTCTTTGTCTGGGTGCCAGCTCACATGAGTATATAGTTGTAATTTAATTCAAATTTTGTTTGTTAAAAAAAATTTTTATTTAAGATTCAAATAAATTTTTATCTAATACGAGTAGTCTTACCTAAGGGTAAGGTTCTGAGAAGATTAGTATTTTGATTTTAAAATATTATACTTATTAATGAATTTAGATATTTAATCTTGAGAAGGAAAAGACAACAAAATTTATATTTGAATTTTAGCTGACCACAGTTATTCTATTTCTCGTAAAAATTTCTAATTCAATTAATTACTCTGATTCAATATGTTTCAAATTAAAATAAAAGTTATGTGATTGGCTGACACTTAATTTATTTTACTATTTATCCAAAATTTTTCAATAGAAGTATTCTTAAATTAAACCTACGACACTTTCTCTACTCTAACTTAAACTAGATAACAATATCCAAGATTTGGATTTAAATATTAAATTTAACACAAGTCTGTATTATATTACAGATTTATACCTCTTTACCACTGTCTAATACACTAATTTCTTTTCTTCTTGGTCCTTTATCTCTTCTATTTCCTTCCTGTACCTGTTACCACAACTTATGTTCCTAACTTGTCATCTCTCATATAACCCCTTGTTGTTCGTCTCCTTGCTGATATTTCTATATTACAATTACCTGTCGGTGACTTGGGTTAGATCTGGGTTGACTCGAAACTGAGTAATACTCTATAACAGTTAACTTTGTCTTGTTATTGGACTTACTTAAGTTTCTATTGTCCGTAATCTTCAATTAATTTAATTCTTGAGACTGTTTTCTTCTACTACTTCTTATAAATGGTTTTTCTTTATTGACTCCATTTGTTTCTTTCTGGCAATCAAATTATCTTCCTTTTAAATTAAAAATTTTATTTTCAAAGCTTTAACTGTCAGCTCCCCATTTATATATTTTTTCTTAATTACCTCACTCCTTTTTTTTCATGTCCCACAGTTTTTTTTTTAAATCACTTTCTAATTCTAGTAATCCAAGTTTTTATTACCAATCACATTTTCAATTTCGAATATACTTTATTACATTATATTTCTTTAAAGTTTGTTTGAAATTCATTTTTTACGAAAATTTTTAATTGATCATATTTTTTTTATTTTATCTTTTCTTTCTCAATTTGAACCATCTACTGTACTCCTATTGGTCACACTTATTCAACTTATAATTTATTTCTTTAAAATCAATTGTATCAATTTTATTTTCCCAAATTTGCCTTTCTCTTTGATATTTTAAAATCTTTGCCCCAACTCATTCTATTACAATATATACCTATTGAATTTTCGCAACTGCAAGAGATGCACTAACCAAATATGGACATGGCACAGCTAATACAATATGAAACGTCGCTTTGCTGTTAAAAATTTTGTCACAGCCGTTCTTGGTGGCAAACATTCGAAATATTTGGAATATTCAATCTACTATTAAAACTGGCGTCAAATCCGATCCTGTCCAAGTTATTTAGAATGTGAAGCTAAGTATGAAGTACCACAACTTTTTAATGATAACTAATTTGGTGAACCATAGTTAAGTTTTAATTTTGATGCCTAATTCATGATTGTATATTAAATAAATTTTTAAGATCATTCAATTTTCTCCCATTTAAATCTGAATCTAACAAAATAATACATTAAATTAGAGTTCACCGTCATTTGGAAGTACCAAATTAATATTTCCTTGATGACTGCCAATAAAATAAGGAACAGAATGTAGGTATTTAAAAAAATATCTTTTGGAAGACACAAATGTTCTGTTCGATGAATTATACTGTGCTTCTCACGTAAAAGAAACAATGAAATTTCTACAAGTTGGCTATATATTTATCTACAAGTAATAGGTATGCAAGTACGTAATAATATTTCTACTAGATATTAATTAAAACGCATGTTTAAATATTGTTAAGTTACAAGTAACAACAAAAAGCAATTTAGACTCGCATACCTATATTCTGTAAATTCTACGTCATATCGTAAAATATTTAAATTAAATGCGAAATCAGTAGACAATAGCAATATTTTATATTTTGGTTTTTATCAACAATTACTGTTAATAACTTGTCCAGAAACCATCTGATAAAGACAATTATTCACGGAAAATTCCAAATAATGAAACTGCTAAATGTACTTGACAACTAACTGCTATCTAATTGACTAAACACTTTGTGGAACATTTATTTTTGATGCTTAAGAACTTAACCTATTCATAAACGTAATTGCCATTGTTCTTTGAATTAAATAGTGGCACAATCAAAACGATTGTGCGAAATTTACATTAACGTAAACCTAATGACATGGCATGTAAACCTTTGTATACTAGTACTTTGTACTACTTTAACATAGCAAAAAGTTCCGCACATACAATTCCCATATTAATTTAGCAACAAAACAAAAATAAGGCATTTTTATCAATATTAACAATAATGAATTCAAAACAGCAATCTTCGTGTATAAAGAAAGCTGAAAACTTTCAAATTTGTATCATCTTTACTTCAATTGTTAATACTAGATTTCGGTACTGTATAGAAATAAGCCTCAGTGCTTACCTGGTATCAGTGACGTACTTCAGACAGTGGTTGGGGATGGCGGTCAGTAGTACCTTTGACTATATACACTTATAGTCAAGGGTAGTACCCATATTTTGAGTGCTTAATATTTTAAATCATGACCCAACAAAACTGTGATATTGGACTTTTATCCCCAAAAATAATGATTTCAGGGAGATTTTTTCCCTATTTCCTTAAAATGTCCAAGTGCAATTTTTAGTATTTGACATCCTACGAAAGTGAAACATTATCTCTTTAATTTTGATCTGAAGTCGACATGTTTCTGATTATTCTTAGAAAGCGATATGCCACTTAATATTTTTAACCTTGATCGTACATATTTGTAGATAGCCATGAAACTATCATATGTAATTTTTTTTCCGTTATTTTATTATGTGTGAATGAAAAAAATATAATTAAAATGAAAATATTCCAACAAAATAGAGTGCGTTTCATTGACACGTAGATATTGATATCCTATTCATATTATCATACTATATCTGTAGGTATAAATAATTTATTATTTTCAGTAATTAAAATAATTGTTTATTTGCTAAAAAAGAATTAAACAGGATGGTAAATATTTCTGTGGTCAATATCAAGTAAAAGCAAACAATAGATGAAGCTTATACTGCATAACTTTGGTTAATTGTAGATCATTAAACTTTACACACTTTAGCTTGTACAATACTTTTCAAGATAGTACTATCGTAAATGTTGTAGAAATAATCTATAACGTTTGGTTTGTATAACAGCAAATATGAATCGTAATATGCAACATTCTCTTTCGAGCATTATCTTCGAAGGTACAGTTGCAGTACATTTTTTATTTCAAATAGGATTACCAGCATTTAAGGTTAGACTGAACAATGGTTTTTATAAACAGTTATATGTATGTATGCTGCAGGAAAACTGTTCTCAGTTGGCAAACAGAATTTATATTTTCGTCTGCTAAACTTGACTACACTTTAGTAATTTCGTTCTTGGTTTATTCATCATTGATGTCTTGATTGAAAGGCTAAAATACCTACCTAAATAGAAAGTTGCTTTACTTATAATCTCATCTCACATAGTTTTAATATTCAATCTCCTTACGATCATAACCACAAATTGTAATTTCAGAATACTGTAGGCATGCTTATTTTAGACGCAGAAGTCTTTATCATTTAAATTTTAACTCTTAATAACAATGACTGAAGTCACCTGATGAATAGTATATAACGTAAACATGTTGTTAAGGAAGCAGATAAGGTATTTGTACAGCAACAATTTGTAATTATACTATTTGTATGTAGTTTAAACTAAATTCCTACAGTAATAGTCTACTTGACAATTTTACTAAAATTTTCTAAACAGAAATTGACTTGCAACATATTAAGCAGATATCGTTATTCTAATATAGTTACAAGTATTCTTTCTGGATTTATAATAGCTCTAAACCTGAGATTAGTTCAAGGATTAACTCTTAATAAAAATGTGATTTCTGTAAAAATCTGTACAGAGATATGGTGCTGAACATGCAATAAAGACTTATATCAGACACCGACCTCTTTTATTAATGTTATTTTAATTTAAATTTACTTTCAAAATAGTTGTATAATTTTTATTCATTGCAATTAAGATAACCCAAAATACTTAGCTCAAAGAGCACGAATTTGGTTCTATAAAAATCTAACAATGCTCGTGCCACGAAGTCAACATGTGAACATAAAAATTAACTAAGTAACATTTATTACTTCATATCCAAAACTGTACCTAAACGATAATCAGAACTCTAATGTTTTCTGTACATACAAATAGATGCACTTTTATATTAATATAAAAGTGCATCTAATCTGCACATAAAAGTGTTTCAAAAACAGTAGAGAAATAAGTCTCTCTAAATCAAATTTATAATAATATTTTTTATACCATTTTTTTTGTTATTACATATTTTCCACATAATACATTGTTTCTAAAAGAGCCTTTCCTCTTTTTTCAGGGAAGGCAACCATCCAGACGACTACAGTCGTTTAACGTACAAGAAACTTTTAGAAGAGGTTTGTCGGTTCGCAAACGTCCTTAAGAGCAGGGGCGTACAGAAAGGAGACAGGGTGGCTATGTATATGCCCATGATCCTTGAAGCAATCATCGCAATTTTGGCTTGCACTAGGATAGGAGCTGTACACTCGCTTGTGGTAATTCTGCCAAACTACTGTTATCTTATTTATTATCTTAGTTCGTTCTATAAGAATTTGACTTCCTTTGACAAATACTCTTACATAAAACACGACTTTTCAATTAACTACTTTGAAGATAAAATTTTTTTACTTTATCATGCTCAGAAGATGGATATTTATTATTTCCAAAGTACCTACTTACATACATAGAGATCATAGGAATATATAAATGTAGTGTTTACTACACATAATTAACATCTCAAATGTACCTATAATGATATTATTATACAGAAAGTAAATTTTGCCTTACAGCGGCTTCAAAAAAATAAATAGAATAAATTACCTGTTGTTACTTTTATGTTTATAATTTTCTTATTAGAGTGAAATACCAATTAAGTTTTATTAACCCTCAATTAGCCATCAATAAAAACGTAAATGTATATAATTTTAATAAGGCACATTAGCCACAAAAATAATGAGTTAAATATCCAATAGTGTTTAAAGCTGTCTGTATGAAAATGTTATAAAATTTATAACGTTTTGTGTTTAATTAGTTAATCTCTATCTTCAAATGGTTTAATATCGACAAAAATATACAAAATATCTTTATTTAAAAAAAAATAGGGTTCATTTTTAAAACAAAGAACTGTTCCCATAAAATCCCCGAGGAAATAATTTGTTAATTGATTTAAAAATAAACATATAATTATAAATAATTATGCACATCTAACCAATGAAAAATACTTTAAAAATTAAATGCGAACTAGCATATCTATAATAAAAGTAACTATTAACTAAAAACAATAGGTATTCGTAGTTCATGATATAATTGTTTTTAACAGGTATAAATAAAAAGTTATAATCAAGTACTTATGCCACTAAAGTACATATATTTAATTAATAGCAAGAACAAAGCCATAATTAAGTTCTACATAATTTAAGAATCTTATTTAATAAAGCTTAAATTTTAGCAAAAGATTGTTTTAAAAGAACAATTAAAAATAAAATATTGTTCTTGATTCTGGGGATTCTCTATCTTCTTTGTTTTTTTCTAAAGGCATTAAAAAGAAGTAGTTTAGAGAGAATTAAATAAAATGCTATGACGGATGAGCGAGTGAAAATTGTGAAAATTCATTACGGAGAGTGTGTAGCTGAGACTTTGCCTACTTTTTAATTTATAAAATTACGTTTTGTGAAATTTTTCATAGACACATAGAGCTTCTTCGGCTTTTCTTTTATTTCCTTTTTTCCCAGTTTGCAGGATTTTCGGCGGACTCTTTCGCTGAAAGGATCCTTGACTGCGAGGCTCGATTTCTGGTGACGGCTGACGGCGCATGGAGAGGAGAAAAATTGCTTCAGTTGAAAACGATATGCGATCACGCAATGCAAATTTGCGCACAGAAAGGACACAACGTCGAGACCTGTATAGTAGTAGCCCACCTGGGAAGGGTGACGTCCCCTCAAGGGACCCAATACAGAAGCAACATGGTAAATATTTGTTGTTTACTTTACCTACTTACGCGTTTTTGTAAGCCTTTCAATAAATTCTTGACTGGACTTGAACACGTTCAACAAAAGATTCGCCATTGTACAAGGCGTTCTGTTGAAAACTTTTTAAAACTATATATCTTTTATAATTCATTCTATTGATTCATATCTTTTACTTTATTGAGAATTCTCCAAACCTCCTTTTAGACACCCATGACTGAAGGTCGCGACATTTTCTGGCAAGACATCGTTCCCGAAGCATCGAGCAGTTGCTATCCTGAATGGGTAGAATCGGAAGACCCACTGTTCATGTTGTACACGAGCGGATCCACTGGAAAACCCAAGGGAGTATTGCACACAACTGGTGGTTTTCTCTTGTACGCAGCCACCACATTCAAGTATGTCTTCGACTACAAACCAAATGATGTATACTGGTGCACTGCGGACATTGGTTGGATCACTGGACACACCTATGTAGTATACGGACCATTAGCCAATGCTGCCACTTCTGTACTTGTAAGTATTTTACTTGTATTCAGAAGACAGTTAAAATTGTTTGATGTTAGTTATAATTCGTCTTATCGTTACCAATATTTCACTTTTCTGAAGACCAAAATCAGTCAAGATTGATATTATTTACAGTGTTTCACTCTATTTCATATTCATATAATCAAGGAAGATAAACATACCAATTCTTATATATTCTGAGCTCTACATACATATTTTAGTGTCATATGATTATGTATTGATTTTTCTACCTACCTATATCAGATTCCCAAAATAGCCAATCCAGTTGACGGCAAACTCTAAAACAATATGTACCTGCATAACCTAATTTCGACAAATCGATGATGACCAATAAATGTTTAATGCTCTAAATAATTTATACCGAGTTTGATTTGGTTTGTCATTAATTTATTTGCAATGAATATTTTTTTATATGCTTTGAAACTGCCCTTTCATGAACCAAGAAGTATGTAAGTAGAAAATAGACAAATAAGTATCCTCACATTTGATTACGTATAAATTTAATTATGGTATAATTTCAGAAACTGATTAACGATTTGAAAAATCTAGACGAATATTTCGACAGGAAAAACTTTAACATTGTTTATTTAATAACGTTGATTTTATAGATTTATACAAAGATATTTTTATTAGTGTACATTTAATCGCTCTTCTATTTTTATACTTTAAAACAACAAAATTAAATGAGTTTTATTTTAAAAATTGTTCAATTTTTAATAGTGGTACCTAGAATATATTGCCTGGTGTAAATTTGTTGTCGCACTTCTATATTGAAAGCAATTGTTTTTACCATTATTTATATTAACAAATACTTTACTAACTAACCACTAACATTTTTTATGTCGATATTCTGTAAAATCTTTGTTTAATTCATGTTATGTTATATTCTTTGTCCATGTTTTTTTTAAAGATTTTTTTATTTTAGTAGTTGCAAACTGCTACGTTTAACAATAACAAGCAACTTAAAAAATATATATCGAATCGGTTTTGTGTCGTTGTGGGAGAATTAATCTCGTTCAAATCAACTGATTGAGAGAGTTTGTTTTTTTTAATAAATTAGTTAAATTCGAGGAAAAGTAGTGCAAGATAACAGTCTGTGCTCAGAATGTACTTTCAAAGTCAAAGAAATGACCCAAGGTTATGGAACATGCGACAAGCCTCTTATAAATAAATGATCTTAATCATATTTATTTAATACTATAAAAAATACACATTAGACTGTAGTATATTAACACGAACTAACAATACAAAGATTCTTATGAGTGTTCTTATTCAAATTTAGTGTAAACGACCTTAATGCATAACATTTCATTACATTTCAACACTGGAAATACTAGAAAATATATTTGGAAATAGTCCATTTGTGTTATTTGCTTCATTTCCGCAAATATTCTTATTTTATTTCAACTATGCTTATTGAATTGTTATTTACAAGATTCATTTCTGTTATAGTATGAAGGCACCCCATTTTATCCCCAGAACGACAGATTTTGGGAAGTAGTAGATAAGTATAGAGTCAATCAATTCTATACTGCACCCACAGCCATAAGAGCTTTAATGAAATATGATGATGATCTCGTTAGAAGGTGAGAAATGCAAATTTCTATATAAGTCTATGAAAGTTAAAGTAAATAGATGTCTTTGACAATTAGAGTATACATAAAAATATAGATACTTTATGTATACAACTAACTGTTTGAAAAAATACATTTAATGTTTATGGGGTTAAAATTGTTTGATGAAGGATAAGAATTATAATTTGCTCAGATTTGAACCCAAACTCCTGTGACATAGCATTAAAAAATGTTTTTTTTTTTGATAATGACTTTAAATGGTGTAATTAAAGAAATTTGCAAAAAAAACACTTTTACGAAGTTACGAGGTGTACCAAATTTGAAATAAATGAAAAAATAAAACGTAGCATTTATTTAAAAAAGATAACTTTGAGGTTGTACCAACGAGTTTTATAAAAAGCGTTACAAAAACTTTTGTGTCTACTTTTATAAATAGAAACACCCTCAATTTTGTTTGCACTTCATTTGCGGTCACCCTGTATGTGTAGATATATTTTACGTTTAAAAACGCTTCTAATCCAATAAAATATTTCAGGCACGACCTATCGTCCTTAAAAGTATTGGGATCGGTAGGGGAACTGATCAACCCTGAGGCATGGATGTGGTATTACAAGCTGGTTGGCCATGAAAAATGTTCTATTGTCGACACGTTTTGGCAAACGGAAACCGGAGGTCACGTATTAACTCCATTGCCAGGGGCGACGCCTATGAAACCAGGGGCGGCGGTACGTATACTGGCTATAATGAGATAAGGTCAGCGATTGTCACATAATAGTTTTCTACAGAAACTATAGGAGACATTTATTTCGGCAATACAGTACAAGGAGATAAATTAAAGCATAATAACAGATACACAAAGATAGTGTATTTTTCCTGTGGCGCATAAACTGCGAAGTTAACCTAAAAAATTAATAAAACTCAAAAAAACGATTTTTCGCTAATAAAAAAAAAACTTGAACTCCAATCGAAAAAAGTTAAATGAGAAAGTTGTAGCTGTTAAAAAACCTATCGATTCGTATGTTTAAATATATCTATTGCTATTTTACTTTTCGAGATATATCGAAAAAAACGATAAAAATCGACTTTTTTTGTTTTTGCTGTATCTCCGTCCATTTTCTTTACTTTTATTAATTTTTTAGGTTATCTTCGCCGATTATGCGCCACAAGAAAAAAAAAACACTATCTTCCTTAGAATTTTTTGTTTCCAGGTGATACCTATTTTTTGTAAGCGCTTCTATTAAATGGACTACTAACTAGATCTGATATCGAAGAATATTGATAGAATATGTTTGAATTAACTTAATATTTTAATAAAGAGTTTTAAAAAAATTAAACTATATTTGCTGCTTTATATTTTATATTGGTATTTGTTCAGTCCATCTCTTTCGGTTCGTGGTGGTTCGAAAACGACCTAATAGTAAAAAAGTCAAACAGTATCTGACAATCATGGATCTTATGTCTATTCCTTTCTGTAATCCCAAGAAAAATTTCGTACTGGTATAATGGCGTTCATGTTTTAGGCGTTTCCTTTCTTTGGTGTCCAGCCAGTCATCCTAGACGAGGCGGGAAAAGAAGTGAAAGGGGAAGGCGAGGGTTATTTGGTATTTTCCAGACCCTGGCCCAGTTTGATGAGGAGCCTGTACAATAATCACGATCGATACGAAACGACATACTTCTCCAAATTCCCAGGATATTACTGCACGGGCGATGGTACGTATTTCGATATCAACCAGTATCAATTCTGAAGAGGCTGGCATGAATTTTTCGAGAGTTAATTTATGTCTGTTTACATCCTGCAACAATACAAAAACCGTGATCGAATATACATTAACAAAATGATTACACAAATTGAAAGTTTCATTCAGTAATGATAGCTATCAGCAGCTAATAGCAACTTAGAGTTACTCTGCACTGATATTTGTTGCTAATAGGTACTATTTTTGCCAAAACGAAAGCCGCCCTGTTAGCAAAAATAGTGGAAAAGCTTAATGCACTAGTTCCGTGACCATTTTGACTTTTACTCTAAATGTTGATTTGTGTACAGGGGCTAGAAGAGATTCCGATGGCTTCCTCTGGGTAACAGGAAGGGTAGACGACATGCTGAACGTATCAGGTCATCTCATGTCCACAGCTGAAGTGGAGTCCGTCCTAACGGAACACCATTCCGTCGCCGAAGCCGCTGTAGTTTCCAAGTCCCATCCCATTAAAGGCGAGTGCCTGTACTGTTTCATAACCACTACAGACCACGGGGTTTACAACGAAACTCTCCTCAAGGAATTGAAGCAATTGGTAAGGGAGAGGATAGGTCCCTTCGCTCAGCCAGATGTGATACAGAATGCACCCTCTCTGCCAAAAACTAGGTCTGGAAAGATCATGAGACGGATTTTAAGAAAAATCGCCGCCAATGACAGGAATGTTGGAGATACCAGCACATTGGCCGACAGTTCGGTCGTGGAACTGTTATTTTCCACGAGACCTGCCAACGCCTAAAGGAATATTGGAGTAACTTATCTAGATGTTGATATTTTAGCAAATTTACACATTTTTTTGGGAACCAGTACTTACTTTTAGAAATCATTTTACTTCATACAGATTTTGTTATGACGCCCTTAAAAATATATTTTCAACGCAGCCTTTAGTAAAATTATAATAGCTTTTAGGGATATTAAATGAATGTGATTCAACTGCATGTAATTATGCTCATCGCTGTTCCTTGTACCAAAAACTTTTGAAATTGCCTTTCATAAATTGCATTTAAGCAACTACACTGTCGTTATGCGTTTACTTTTTTAAGTTATTGAATCGTGTAATTTATTGTTCAATGTTAGAATTACTGTTAAATCAATGTATCTATTTATTACAATAAAATTATTTTTATAATACGTTTTATTTATACGTCTTTGCACATGTTGGGAGACTTATGGATTGCCTTCATTAAACATATCATTCCATTATTATATTTTACATGTTTTATATACATGTTTGTACATATGTTATACCTAATAAAGCTACAATGTTAATGTTAGATGAATTTCATTTTAGCGTGTAAGAACCCCAATTGTACCACAGACAACATAGCTTCACCCCAGACCGCAACTGGAATAGGACAGCAGTTTTAAATTTCCAAATTGCCAATAAAGAACGCCACAAGCAGAATTTTAGGAAGAATCAAATCAGCGGCCCGCATTCCTATGTGTATCCTATGTTGCTAGGCGTACTTACAAATTTATTTTATACACTTTTTTATCAATATCTGTTTTTTGCGTTACTATATTTACTTAAATGTAGGTATTGATAAAAATGTTTTAAAGAATCAACGAATACCTATGTAGTTTCATATAATATTCTGCAGCGGTGTCACAGTTAGGTTATTTAATCATAATTTCGTTAATTAGCTAATATTTTAATTTTTTGGTATTGATATACTGCAGAAAATATATTTCCAAATAAACAAAATTCGTAATGACATTTTAAACAGCTTGTAATATAATTTTTTAATATTTATGATAAGTTTATTTAATATACAAGGTGGGTTATTAGTACGTCGCGGAATGTAGTTACAGGTTTTTTTTTTGTATTTTGTATACTTGTAGGTTTAATAATTAAATATAGAAATAAACTTTAAATACAAATAAATGTACGATTTTTCCTTTATTTCTTTCGACATCAAAATTTGCTGGCATAAAAGACATGTTTAAAGTAAAAAAATCATAAGAAAAATTAAAATTCATCCTTATTGAAATTACAAACAACGATTTTTATAACTAACCTTTACAACAACATAAGGAGAATATAAAAAAATAAATTACATTAAAATACGTACAATTTTTACAAATTTTCAATATGCAAGTAATTGTGATGATACAGTTGAAAATATGCTTTAATTTACTATTTATTGCTTTAAAAACAAATTCAGAATTATCAGACATTTCGTTCTGTATCTTTTCTTTCAATACCTACTTGTAAATTTTGAGATCTTTAATAATATATTTTGTTGAAGTGTCCCCGCAGAAATACGTCTAAAGGACCGAGATCGGGACTGTTTTCTGGCTACCTAAGGTTTCTAATAATATTTTTTACAGCGTTGACGGGATTCGTCCTCCAAAATAAATTTGCCAATATTCCTGAAGAACTTTTCCACATTATTGTTATTTGAATAATACAGTTTAATTATATTTTAAATTTCGTCATCAGAATTACCCATTTATTTTTTTTTTTATTAAATTAAAATGGATTATTCTGATAATGATAAATCCCATGTATTTTTAAAGGAAGGTTCGTTTCTGGCGTTTCTGCACAGTGCACAGACAAAATAGCTAAGGCGATAAGCTATTGTATGTGGTTTTTGTATGATAGTGTGCGAAAAGGATAGAGTTTAGTGTGCAATAGAGACAGAGTGACTTTGTCCTCATAGAGAGCTTTTCTCTCTCTCTCTCTGCTGTCTTCAAGAGTCTCTTCCCCAGCATCTTCAGGACACCTTGGGAGGGAGCGTGGGGTAGAGCGAGTGGCATTTTTAGCCTTCGTCATCGAGCTATGACGTCACAGCGTATGACAAGAAAAAAGGGTTTTTACCTTTAACTCGGAAATAGCTGGAAATATAAACAAATCTCCCCTTGGTTCTGAGTAGAGCACTCAGTGGGTGAAGCAGAGCGAGGTGTCACAATATATGAAAGAAAAAACAGTATTTGCTTGTACCTCGGAAATACTCGAAATTTCAAAAAATCTCCCACGGTTCTGATTGGTAATCGAGTGAAAAACGTCCGAAGTCCGCATGTCGAAAGAAAAACCGGGACCAACGGTGTGTGACATCATAGAATAAAAAACTATTTATAACTCGGAAACGGTGGGTTGAATCGAAAAAATAATTGAAAAAATCTCCCCACACCCACGGTTCTAATTGTCCCTTTTGCGTTGAATGCAAAAGGTCCGAAGTCCGTATATTGAAAATAAATTTCGGAAACAAGAGGTGTGTGAGGTGATACAGTAAAAAAGGTCTTATAACTCGGAAACGGTGCGTTGAATCAAAAAAATAATTTAAAAAATCTCCCCTATCTCCTCTATTCTGATTGTCCGTTCTGAGTTGAATGCGAAAAACAAAAAAGTTAGTCAATAATTGCAACAGCAGTAGCAAACGCATTATCGCATCTCTCATTGATTGATGATTTGTTATTTTTTTAAATAAATTTCGTATCAATCACCCCTTGAGGTTCCAACAATTTTATTAAATAAAAAATTAAGGTACTATTCTTAAGGAAATTTTACATTTTTTAACTTTTTTGAAATAAATAATTAATTAGATGAATTTATAGTTTTAATTCTAGCTTGATTTATTTTATTTAGGATTTAACACAAATGTCATTTCCAAACAAAAGATAAGTTCAATATAACTCTTCAATTGCATAATTAAATGCATTAAATATATTCGGCAATAAAGCCACCGCTAGAACTGCCTCCTATTACCGAGAAGAGTTACCATGCTTTTTGTTGATGGATTCCGGCTATACAAGACCCTGCATATACATGTTAGGTTGCCAATTTCCAGCATGTGGCGATAAGCTATGTTGTCTATGGCTTTACTTACATATTTGTGGAAAAATTAGCTTTTTTATTGATTATATTGATTATATAAACAGGTAGTTAAAAACTAATAAACCACACCGCAGAATAATATACAAGCTACATTTTTGTTCATATTTCTTTTACTTTTTGAAGGATGTATACAGACAAAGCAGTACACCCTACACAGTGAATTTACGGGTGGTAACAGGACCAACTTTTGGACGAGGGCGAGTTGATAAGTATCCTGCAAATAAAAAAAATATCGTTATCAAAAGATATATAATATTTAGGGAAGCCTCTAAAGGGCCGCAGCTCACTGTACCAGATCTTATGAGTAATCCGATGAGTTCCTATTCGGTTTTGTAGGCTTATATATTGAAAAATAAATGGTAAAATAACTACTTAAATAAGTTTGTGTCGAACAATTTATGAATTACTACAAAACGAGCAATTTTCAAACGAGTTCTTTATATAAAAAATTGTGTCTACTCACCAATTTCATGTGCTGGGTACGCTAAACTGGTGAAGAAACATGTTGCTGCCAGTAAAATGGCTGTAAAAATAACGGATACCTTCATCTCATCAAGGAAAAGAATAAACTGCTACTGCAAACTCAAATTGTGTCGCTATGTTATATAGCAAGATATCGAGCAGGGGATTATTTTAACTGATGGAATTCCTCGATATATATTATTAATTCGTTTAACGTATTTACCAAGAATAGCATTGTTTTGTTTCTAAATCAATATTATTTGTTTTGATATCTCGTCAGTCAGTGAAAATATGAATTTATTTTCTTATGTAACTATTTTTGCTTGACTAAAAATATCATGTCCCAAATATTAAAAAACGCTGACCTCCATATCACCTCACTAGGTTCTTTTCAAGTATGTTTGTTCATGTAGGTACCTTCCTAACACTGCCAGGAAATTGTATAACCTCAATAACAATAAGTAAAATTATTGGCATATGGAAATTAAGAGCTCCTATTGTAAAAAAATAAAATAAAGTAAATCAAAAGAGAGAATACAAGTAGACAAGATGACGATATTAAACATTTTATAAAGAGAATTTCAATGTTTATCCAAGAATTTACTTTCATTAAGTTTCATTTTACGCAATTCTGTATAAAAATTGTCACTATATTGGATATACGTACTGAGCAAAAACAAACATAGTGCTATATAAAATTATGTACTTTGAAAATCGTAACTTGATTCTTATGTTGCAAATTAAAATACTTTTAACTTTATTTTAAAGATATTCAAATAAAATCCACATTTTTCTCAAAATCCTATAAAACGAGTCAGTGTCAATTTTTAGAAATATACTTAAATTAGTTTGATTTAACTTAGTGCCTTTAAAATAACGTAAAAATAAGAAAACTAATAATAATAAAGTATATATATATTTTTAAATACTTTACCTTTGATGACAAAAAAGGAGAAATTTGTTTCCAATATCTTTGGCTATTTTAGAAATACAATAAGTAGAATATAAACGAATTAGGCATGCAATTTCACTACGTGACTAGATATGACTGAAACTGTGTTTTAGAGTTTATTCTGAAGATTTGTTGTGTTTCGAAATGTCAAGAAGCCTAAATTGATGACGTAGCAAAAATCTTGAAACTGTTCAACCATTAAGAACTGTTGGGAAAACCTTCAAACCTAGATGTGTCCACTGTATATAACTCTTAATTGTATATTTAATATAGTTTGATATTTTTTAGAATTGTGGAAGGAAGGAAAAGAAAATTCGGTGGAGTTAAAAACATCGTCATTAACGTTTTTCAATAGTTTAGACATGGTAGAACTGTAATTCTCTAAAAAAAATTTAAACTGTCTACAAGCAATGAAAGCATTACATTTCTGGTATTTTTTTAGTAATACAAAATTTTAGCCTATAATGATATTTCTGCATTTAGTTAATTGAATTTGATCATATTGCTTCAATAAGTGTTATTTTTAAAATGGTTAAAAATATTTTGTTACAAAATAATACCACTACAAGTAATGATCAGACCTTTTTGTGTAAGACTATGCAGTGATTCTAAATGATCGTAGAACTAAAAAACTAAACTCTTGTCAATTTTCTTAGTTTGGGCGAGATATAAGCTAAAAAACGTATGTCATAGTGTATATGTCACATCAATTTTTTTTTTTCTTTTAATTAGACATTGTGGCGAAATTAAACAATATTTTGAGGTTAAAAAAAATATGAAAGAGGTATGTATTTAATAAATCACACTTTATTCGAGCAGATAACAAAAAAATAATTAACATTCCTCGATGAAGTTGGTATATCAGAATGTCTGGAGTGGCAGCATTTTAATGGATTGGCCTTGGTGGTGTTGGTCTAGGCAAGTAAGGTGGTTTATCGGCTCTTACAACTCGATGTACTGAAAAAAAAAGACAATGTAAAAGTTTCTTCTATTCATTCTAAATATGTAAATGAAAAACACAAAATAAGGTATTCTGAAAAAAAGATATTGAGCTATGAACTTATACAGAAAAAGATACATCTATTGATTCGTGTAAAACAGTTTAAGAGTAATCAAAGCAAGAACATTGCAGTTACACTTACATTGTAAGTTGTAAGTTATATCTACAATAACCATATGAGTTATAGAAAATATTTAGTGTAGAAAAAAGTAACTAACCTGGATGATCTTCTACTGAAGAAGCAGGACTGCCGAAAACTGCAGCAATTGCCATGAAGAAAAAGACAAATATGAATAATACTCTCATCTTGGCTTCTGGTTGTGTTTTCTGTTTGAGTTAGATACGTTCTGTATCAACATAGAGCTCGTCTGTAAGTTTTATACAAGAAATTTGTAAGGGGATTTCTCGATTTTGTGAGGCGTTGACCTGAATCCGATATTAGTTTGTAATTTACTTTGCGTGGAATGTATGTTTATGTAATAATACCAAGAAATTCTACAGCCTTAATAATAATGAGTAAAATTATTATTAATGTTTTAATTATTATGTGTCCTTTCATTAACGAATTGGGTACTTTTTGTTTAAGTGTCTAAGTTCATGTAGGTATTAGCTGAAAATTTTAATTATTTCAATAAAAATTAGTTATAAAAAATTAGAAATAAAATCTAATTTGATATTCTGGACATGAATACCATTTTTCGGTATTATTAAACTCAGTACCCATGTCACATGGGCCATATGGTGTTTTTTAAGGTTTGTAAATGAAACCTTTGACTTTTGGCACGAAATATTGTGTATTGAAAATTACAGTTTTTTTGTAGTAAGAGAAAAACTAATTAATTAAGAGAAGTGCTAAAAAACTGAAATTCTATTTTTCTGAGTCAAGACACTGAAAGTTTCAACCCTGTTATTAATCTACTGTCTCTTCTATCCGCGTTAATAGTATTTAAATGACCGAAATTTGACAACAATCCTTGTGGCTTGATTTTAGAGAATCAGATATCAATTTCCTTTTCATAGTTGTCTAGCTGGTCGTTGTCAAAAAGTGAAAATTGGTAATAACATATCTGACTTATTTTTAAACAAATATTTTCTATATTTTAAAATTTTATGTATGCAGATCATTTGATTATTCTAAATAATGTTTCAAATAAAACAAATGAGGATTTTGGGAGTATTGTCGTTTTCTAAAAGTTCAAAATTCAATAATTAGTCCTCAGAAAAGCAACGTGATGTTATTTTCTGCCAATTTTTTAGATTTTGGATAATTAATTGTATTGAAGTTTAAATTCGTGAAAAGTACGAAAAGCTTAGTTAGGAGCTTTAGTAGATAAAAAACTAGATTGATGATCATATCAATATATTGTACAAAAGTTATTCGTTTCTACTATGCATGGCCTAGCTTATTTTCAACGTACGTCTTACATTTAGTTTGAGGAAGATTGACTATATTCCTGATCAAATAAATTCCAAACTGATTAAATATAGAAAATATCTTATAAAAAGTCGAATTTCTCAAAAATGGAATACATTACTGGGAAATCATGATTTTTTTTTCTTCAAATAGGATAAATAACCAAATAATGACATTTTAAAAGGTAAGGTAGAAATTCTAAAACAAAAAGCGAGTTGTCACACCAAATTTACGCGAATGGTCAGACATAAATAGTGCAACTTTCTTTCAAGTTTTTTGAAAAAATATACTGGGAAATATTTCAAAATAATCAAAATTAATTCTGAACTTCAGCACCGTCTATTTCCTCAAAGAAGCATTTTTAAAAAATCCAATAAATCTTCCCTAAGATTGTTGTAAAACAAAAAAGTCAAACACTTGCCACTGCAATGGCAGTACCAAAATAACTTTAAATTTATTTTAATGTGGGCGAGATATAACCTTTTTTATTTAGATTTGTTTATTTATCTGGCGAAACGAGGTGATATTTTAAAGATGAAGAGAGTTGTAAGAAAAAAGTATGAATTTAGTAAATAAGGTTTTATTCGAACATATAGCAAATAATTATTAACAATATGTGACGTGGTAGTTAGTTATCCATTGTAGATTAGTGTCTGGAGTAGCAGCATCTTAATGGATTGGCCTTGGTCGTGTTGGTCTAGGCAAGTAAGGAGGTTTATCAGCCCTTACAACACGATGTACTGAAAAAAAAAAAAAATATATATATATATATATATATAAAAGTTTGTGTTATAATTTATGACAATGGTGCCTTAAAAGGCATCCAACATATATTAGGAAAAGATGTCCTATGAATTTAAAATATGCATGTGTAATTTAATTTAGAAATAAGTAGTTAAAAAAAAAACATAACAAATACTACTACTATGAGACAATGACAAAAAATGTATTGTTGAATTAATGTAAAAGACAATTCAAGAGTTTGTTAAATTCATAGAACATAAATACTACAGTTACACTTATATTGCAAATAATATGTGCATAGGCTCTTCGACAGTAAAGAATATGCAAAGTGGAGGAAAAAAATAACTAACCTGGATGATCTTCTACTTCAGAAACAGCACTGCCGAAAACTGCAGCGACTACCATGAAGAAAAATACAAATATGAAGGATACTCTCATTTTGGTAACTGGTTGTGTTTTCTGTTTGAGTCAGATGCGTTCTGTGACAATACAAAGATCGTCAGTAAGTTTTATACTAGAATTTCTAAGGGGGTTTTTCGATTTGCGGGCGCGTGACCTGAATCCAATATTAGTATGTAATTCACTTTGTGTACATGTTTGTTTATGTAGTAATACCAAGAAAATCTATAACCTTAATGGTAATTAGCAAAATTGTTATTAAAATGTTAATCAATATGTGTGCTCTGAAACAAGTAACGACTTAAGACACTTAAAAATTGATTTAAGTGTTTAAAGTACATGTATTAATTAAAAATTTCAGTTAACTAAGTAAAAGATAGTCTGAAATAAATCCTAATTTGATATTACCTGTGTTGTGCTTTGGGATATGGATGTGGGAGATGTGGGAGAAATACCTAATTAATTAATAGAAGTATCGATAAATTGAAATTTTATATAATCAATATACAGATAGTTACAAAAAAAAAATCAGCAAATTTGTACATGTTTTATTTATTGTTTTCAGAAATAATTAATGTATATCTACAGGCAGTTATAAATTCGCTTCTCACTACAGGAATCTCGGAAACTGTAAGAGATACGAAGTAGTTTAAATAACGGCAAAGTTGCATAATCAGGGGACCAACATTATACCTCTAAAAAATCAAGGCTAACATGATTAGTTTTCGAAATATTTGAAAAACCCGAAATTTTGGGAATTCGTTTTTGTTTAATTTCAGCCTTGTTTGAGGTGATATTGAAAAAAGGAGAACACTTTCTCATGGCCACTTTTTGCCCTCTATCGAATGGCATACCTAATCAATTTTTATATGTAACGTTTCGTCTCTCCAGGACCATCATCAACTCCATTTTTTAAAAACGACCCTGGAAATTTTATTATATTTTTTGCAAGCCTTCATGACCCCCAGTACTATACTGCCTCAGCAGACGTTTTGTCTCTAAAAATTCATCTTCAGAGTCTATGTTGAGTTGATTACTATTTCTTATTGTACATACAGCAAATATTTTCCATAATTTAAAATTTCATGTGAGCAAACTTATACACGATTTTTACAAAAAAAATTATTATTCTAAAGTAGATGATGTTTCAAATAAAATAAAGGAGGATCTTGAAAATATTGTCGTTTCCTATAAATCATAATTAAAAAATTAATCGCGAGAAAAGTAATGCTGTTATTTTGTGCCAAAAAAGTAGTAATCTTGGACTTTGTATTGGAAAACAAATTATAAATTTGCGAAAAGTGCGAAAAAGTTATAATAAATGAAAAATGAAAGTTTAATGATCATATCAATATATTATCCAAAAATTATTCATTTCTTTGAAGCTATTATATTCAATTCCACCAAATTTTCGTCACTGTGACTGTAGCTTATTTTCCATGTTTAAATAAATTTGAAAAAATCATATTCAAATAATTCGGTATTCATATTATCGTTTTACATTTGGTTTGAGAAAGTTTAACCATATTTCTGATAAAAAATTCTAGGTTGGCTAAACATACAACACATCTTTAAAAAAAAATCATTTTCGTTGTTGTTAATATATGGAGAAGACGACTTCTCAGAACACCACGTAAAGTCAATGTATAATTAGGTGTTTATCCTTTGTTTGTGCATCGATATGTGCCACTGACCAAGCAAATGCTTAACCGACAATTCAAAGTTTGATAACAAATGAAATTATGACAAATGTCATAAGTTTTTGTGAAAAATTACTTTAAATGATATGGATAAAATTTTCTAAATACTCATTAGCGTCGAATTTCTGATGTTTTAACAGAAATTAACGGCCGGTATCTCTACCACTAGTACACGTATATCCTAACTCAGTCAATTTTTACGTTTAATTAGGTAAATCATTGGTCTAAGTTTCATCGTTCTGCTTCAAGCGCCTTCAGAAATATTTTAGAAAAAATTTTTTTTATTTCATTTCAACCATTAAAGTGTATTCACGTTCCTAATAAACGCTCTGTATAATGAATAGTGAGACAGATTCTTTGTACTGAATTGGCTATATGAGTTGCAAAATAATAGAGTAGACGTTCCAACACAGCCTATGATGGCTCCGCAGAGGTCTTGAAGCAACCCTCACTTTAAATTTTCGGCTCTCCGGATGTTGCCGATCTTTAGATTCTGCTCTACTCTTACTGGTATCTGGTCTGAAGTTCGGTGTGGTGATGTATCTGATCAATATGTTACCTTTTTTAAGTTTCCCAGGTAAAATACTAACGAGAAATAGAATATAGTTATATGTTGTTATAATTTTTATTTAGAACAAAGTTTAAAACATTAGTTTTTATGAGCAGTCACACTTTCCATTAATGCACAGTCCGCTGTATGCAGGATGTCTGGATTTACAGTAGGCTCTACAGGCTGATCTGGTGCAAGTATCTCTCCTTGGTCTGATAATATCTGGATTTGTTGGACGAGGTAAATGAGAAGGTTTATGTCCTTCTGCAACTCGACGCACTGGAAAAGAACAGAATCAATATTTGTCTCTCGAATGGTGAAAACAATCTCTACGAATTGACTATTATTTTTATACTTTGTGTACATTTAGGATATTTATAAAAATGTTCAACAATGATGACAGCAATTCAAAAATTAACTAACCTGGTTCTTCTTCTACCCCAGAAGCAGTGCTGCTGAAAATGCAGACGACAGCGACAACGAAAATCAAGAATATGAATGAAACTTTCATTTTTACTTTTGCTGTTTTCTTCAGCCTATTCGGACTTATACTACAGTAATCCAATATTCGTCAGTACGTTTTATATAACAATTTTAGGGGAATTTTTTGGTCAAGTGGAAATAAATTTAATTTAGTTAATCTCTTAAAGTTCAATAAAGGTTCATGGTTTTCCATGTTAATTGATATGAAGGTACTTGTTTATGAAACAGTATCAGAAAGATTCTTAGAAATTTAATGTAATGACTATAATGATACACAAGTAATAAAGGATATATACTTTAATTAGGAACATATCTCAGTCCGAAGGAATTTTAGCTTGATATTTATAACAAATTTTTAAAATGACATTTAATATTTAACAGGTTGTAAAACTGCTAATATTAGTACTAATACTAATGTAAAAGCGATCAGGTGAAAATCAATTTTTTTTGTCAAAATAGCCTTGAACTTTTAACTTATAACACATAAAATTTAAATAAATAACTAAATATTTGAACTAAAACTCAAATATAGGTACCCGTTAAATAAATTCTGCAGATAAACTCGTATTTAGTACAATTGTAGGTAAATCTGGGAAAATGTCCTCATTAGTGAGTGACCCCACCCCAGTATATGGTTGTCGTGCGTTGTCTTTGTCTCTTCCCATCGTTCCCATTAGGTCATCCACCTCGTGGTGTGGTGTATGGCGTGTAGTGCTGAATAAGTATCCGTTTAAATGGTTATTTTGGTGACAATTATATTTAAATGCAGTGGTATGATTACAACAACTAAAAACAATAATATATTGAGTCTCAATTAATATTTGGTTAAATAAACGGATGGTTAAATTGTTATCTATATACTTACTTACGTATCTGTAACGTATACGATATAGGTTATGGCAAACTATTCGTCCGATCAGTTAACCAATAATTGCTTTAATCGAGACCTAAAATATTATTCCTAAAACAGATCTGTGTAGACACCACTGTGGCAGCTTAATAGTTTATTACTTTAAGACAATGATATTTAAATTCAAATTTAAAGAGAATATAAAGTGGTGCAAAACCACTCCAGATATTAATGAAATTTTTATAGTACATTACTCAACAATAGTTGAATTTAAATCATATTAGAGAAAAAGTCAACTCTTAAGTGGTTTTACATACTCAGAATAGACTCAAAAGTTACTCACTTGATAGTAAGCAGAAATTCAGATTTGAGCAAAATTCTCTCTATAAAATTTTAGTTGTAGGTACTCATCCTAATAGAGTGAAAATTTCACTCAATGGTGTGTGAAAAGAAATCGATACAGTATTGAATAAAATTGTAAAATTTTCACTTAAAAAAATAAAAAAGAAACATTAATTTTTTATATAAAAAGTACTGATCTAATTCTAAGAATTTTGATTAAATCTAGGTTTTCGATTGCAAATAAAACTAGCATTTATAAAACCATAGGAAAACAGTGGCAATATGAATTCTGTTTAACTTGAGCTGCTTTTTATTTTTTATAATTATTTAATAATTTGACCATACCGAAATGATTTTATACAGTTTTGTACTGTTTCATTATTGTTAAAAATTAATAAAGCAACATTTTAGTTGGATTATTAATACATGGTTTTTTGATAACAGAATACTTAGAAAAGTTTAAACATAGAATGTTTGTTATTTTTAATAAATCTAAACATTTCGAATTATCTAATATAAACACGATCGGTGAGCAACCATACTGTTGCCAATTGAGCAATAAAAATTAATTATTTACGTATATTTGAATAAATTTGTAGTACTTCTTCGAATGCAATAAAAATCCCCTTGTCCGAAAATTTTACCCTGGTCAGTAAGTATATATATAAAACAGTCGACAGCAAGTCAGTATTAAAGTTAAACCATAGCATCATAAAAAAATGAAACTTACAATTTTCCTATTTGTACTTATCACATATATTTGCTGTAATTCTGCAGCTTCTGTTAACAAGGATCTAGGTAATTATTTCTTTATCTTACAAAAAAGTTCTTTTTATATCATATTTTAACAATATTTGCCACCTATATGACCAAATGTAACCATGGAGGACCTAAAGGGCACCCTATGATCGACGCAATGAGTATTAAAATAAAATTTACTTAATTTAGAAGTCCAAAAATAATATAAATGATAATAGATTAATCTGGTTATTATAGAGGCGGATATTGACTATCTTGATTGACTATTTGAAAGCTGACAGCTATTTGTATTTTCAATAACCACGTATTCACCATTAATCGGCCTCATTTCTTTCAGAAACCGAAATCGAAGAAGGGATTTTGACACAGCCTCTGGAATTGGTCCGTGAGGTAAGAGCAGCTGCAGGATGTGACCCCAACAAATGCGATCAGTACTGCAGGTACTGCTTCAACGGGCATTGTGACTGTAATCACCATTAGGTACCTTTACACTTACGCTCAATCGTGAGCGACTGGAGCGCCCCGTTCCAATCACACGCGAAAGCTTGTTAGTGTAAATGTATATAATCGCGCGGTTCTTAGACGTGTCAAATCCTGCATTACTTCGCCAGTTGTTTTCATGCGGAAATTTCACGTAGGGTAAAGTTTACTTCGATTTTCACGCGGTCTTGTGGAGTTTACTCTTAAAAGGCGATAAGTACTTTTTTAAATTTTTTAATATAAACATAGCTACCTAGGATTCGCATATTTGTAAGCGTTTTTGTATTTTTTTATAGACTATGGCAGATGCACGATATTGGTCAAAAGAAACAATTACAAATTTTATTGAGCTATATAAATCCTATCCATCTTTATGGAAGATTAAGTCTAAAGAAAAAATAAGCCACTTTTAATTTTCTTTTTTTGTTTATAATTTGCTCCATTTCAGAACAAACCGTCTATAAAACTGTTGAAATTTTTAACACTCCACGAGCCACGACTATCGCGCGAGAAACTTGACACTTTTCAATTTACACTGGCCGTGTTATCATGTCACATTTCACCGCGCAGGCAATACCGTGCGATTGGGGCGTGTAAATTTTTAACAACAAAGTTTTAGAACGCGACACTCAGGATTGCAGGAAAATACGCGCGAATGGAACGGGGCGCTCCAGTCGCTCACGATTGAGCGTAAGTGTAAAGGTACCTATTAGGTCACTCAAAGTTTTACCATTCAATCCAATTTTATGTTCTGTGTTTCATATGTTTTCACAGCATAGCAGTGATTTGATTTTTTCAATAAACAAAAGTTAAACAAAACTTTGTTATGTTTTTTCCTTACTTAACAATCATATAATTAATTTCAGTTACTTAGAAATTTAAAATAATTGTTGAACTATATTCCAATTTCTTGTTTCCAGTAACATATTAATGTTTAGTTTCGTCAGATAATGAGTAACCATTTTTTTTTCTTTCTTTCTGTTCTGTATTGCAGTTTACAAACCTTCTTTTACACACTATGCATATCTAATTGAAATTAAATACTGATTCATTGTTTATTAATATTGAATAATACCCCACTGTTGATCTAATATGTATTTAATCGTCTGTTTACACAATTTATTAAATCAATATTTATAAAATATTATATTCGTATTAGCAATAATTTAATTATACCTACTATAGGGTTGTCGCTATTGAATAATAATATTAATAATACTGTATTGCCGCTGATTGTTAATTTGTACCACTATTTGGCACTTCTTTTAATTATTTAGTGATTTTGCCACATTAAAAATTAATGAATATTTAAAAATACTTAGCCTCATTGTAATTGCGAAATGCCCAATTAAATATTTAATACAAAAATAGTGATCTTATGTAGTTGTTTTATTTTTCTTGGTAGGTATATATCATTTATTTGGGCACGTGAAATAAATCTCAAACATCTTCAAAAATCGTTCATTACATTATTTGTTTTCTGCTACAGTTGTAGTTGGTTGTAAAAAATAGAATACCTAATTTAATTAGTTTAATCCTTTATAATAATGTATAAAACTACGAATTGTCCATATTTTTCATCGAAAAATATATCTCCTAAATATGCTGCTTTCTAAATCAATGCGGTATAGTAGCTAATTATCATAAATAAATAAACAGAGAAACGTTGCAATAAGTGCATGGTTCATACATAATGCACTTATTGCAATTGGGGATCCCTGCCCATTATTTATCCGATACTAATGAAAAGACATTTACTAGGTTATACTCGTAACTTCATATTTATTTAGCCTCAAGTTTATGCACGTCATTAAACAGAAGCTATAACTCACTTCAGTATTAATTACATTATATTTTACCAAACAAACACAATCAGTGAGAACTGACCTTGTGAAAACTTATTAGTAGAAAATATCAACGAGTAAATAAAACGTTTTTATCACGATACGTACTTTCTTTCTTATAAGTCTTTGAAGTACCTACACATGACATTGTTTTTAACACACAAACAAGGGGGATTCACATTTTCCTAAGAGCCTTTTTTGGATCTACTATCTCGTAATGTTATTGACTAGTTCACGGTTCATTGAATTTCTGAGAAAGTAGTGCAGGTTAGTCTAGGCAAAAAAAAAATCCGAACAGATTTTATAATTTTATAATAAACTGTTGGAATATACAGAGCACCACCTACGTTTCTTATACTCATATTTCGCGAATATCTCTGGATGGACCAGGAAAGGAAAAATTTTGAAAATTAATTACTAGGCGTGTTTTTATTGTTGGAAAGTCTTGGGAATGATAATACAAGAGGCGTCTTATCTCGTGGGTCATGAAAAAAGTACAACGTCATTGTTTTTTTTATGAACAAATAGGTAAAAAATTCATCATTTTTCGTTCTACGCATTATTGTAAATAAATTATTAATCTTAGCAAAAAATGTTCGACAGACGGTTTGATCTAGAGAAACTCACCTTTAAAATGAGACTTTATAACTTAAAATTGCTTTATAAACAAAAAATTTATTGCAAAATTAAAAGGAAAAAGTCCTTTTTAATTAATAAAATCTTACCTAACTTTCCTAAAATGTGAGTTTTTATATCCTTTAGAGATGAGAAAAGGTGGGTTCGATCTGTCAAATAATTTTTGCAAAATTCCATTTATTTATCTCATTTTTGGAAAAAAGGCCCATTTTCAAATGACTATTCCGGGGCAGGGTTATGACTAAAACATTCTTTTTGGTCTTATTTTCTTCGAAGGGACACCAAGTATCCTCTAGTTAAAAAAAATTAAATATTTTTTTCAAATTTAGTGTTATATAATTATTAACAAATAAAAGGACACTTTTTTCCCTAATAAACCAATAAAATAATCTCGCGATTTTTAACTTTTGAAAGAAGTTATATGCACCATTCGAAAGCTCGTAAAAAAACCTACAAATTGAATTAAAAAGTTTCTACGACAATAGGTCCGGAGTTAGCAATTTTTTTTTAAATCACAGAGCAATTTCCTCTCAACCAGGAAAAAACTGACAATGTAAAATTTGTAATATCTCAGCTTCTATGTAACGTAGAATCTTCTTCTTTTTAATTTGGGGTAGCTCGACGATAAAATTACTTCTGGATTATTTCTACCCTTGTAAAACCACCCCTACCCCCTAAAAATAAATTTTTTAAATACATTTTTTTGCATATTTTTTTATTTGAAATGTTTTAGATAATAAAATGTTGTCAAAATTATTTTAACCCTTCAAAATTAATTTAACCCTCAACCCCCAAAAAAATCAATATTTTTATTTTAGTTTTTCATACTTTTTATGTAATTATGGATTATGTATATTGATTAAAGGATTAATTATTTTGTAAAATTTTTATTATTAATATATTTATTTATAAATTAGTATAAAAATATAGGTATAAAATATTTCCATATATACAAACAGTAGAATTTTTTTTACAATTTATTATAAATTTCAACTTCAATTTGGGGGTGGAGGAAGTTAAATTAAGTTTGAAGGGTTGACAACATTTTTTTATTGAGAACTATTGTCTAAAATATTTCAAATAAAAAAAATGCAAAAAAAATTTTTTTCAAAAAATTCATTTTTAAGGGGGTGGTTTTACAAGGGTAGAAATAATCCAAAAGTAATTTTTTCGAGCTACCCCTAATTAAAAAAAAGAAGGTTCTACATTACATAGAAGCTGAGATATTACAAATTTCACATTGTCAGTTTTTTTCTGGTTGAGAGGAAGATCCCCCCACCACCACTCCCTTAAGGGCTACTCCCGCGTACCCTTATTTTGACGGGCTATGCATTGATCAATTATGGGCAAATTCAATTAAAATTAACAGGGCATAAAGTTTAAACCTTCATTTACAAAATGTTAAAATTTCAGGTCTTAATATTGCTGATTTAAAAAAAAAAATTGCTAAATCCGGACCTGTTGATTGTAGAAACTTTTTTTCAATTTGTAGGTTTTTTTACGATCTTTCGAATGGTGTATGTACATAATTTCTTTCAAAAGTTGAAAACCGCGGAGTTATTTTATTTGTTTATTAGGGAAAAAAGTGACATATTTGTTATTAATTAATTATATGCAACTAAATTTGAAAAAACATTTAATTTATTTTAATATTTTTTTAACTAGAGAATATTTGCTATCCCTTCGAAGAAAATGGGCCCAAAAAGAATAGTCATTTGAAAATGGGCCTTTTTTGCAAAAATGGGATAAATAAATGGAATTTTGCAAAAACTATTTGACCGATCGAGTTCATCTTTTGCACATCTCTTAAGGATATAAAAAATCACATTTTGAGAAAATTTGGTAAGATTTTATTAATTATTTAAAAAGTTATTAACAATTAAAGAAAAAGCACTTTTTTCGTTTAATTTTGCAATAAATTTTTTGTTTATAAAGCAATTTTAACTTATAAAGTCTCACTTTAAAGATGAGTTCTCTCTCTAGATCAAATCGTCTGTTGAACATTTTCTGCTAAGATTTAATAGTTTTTTTACAATAACGCGTAGAACGAAAAATGACGAATTTCTTATCTATTTGTTGATAAAAAACAATGACGCTATACTTTTTTCATCACCCACGAGATAAGACACCTCTTGTATTATCATTCCAAAGACTTATTTTCAACAATAAAATCACGCCTAGTAATTTTCACGATTTCTCGATGATTTTTTACCTTTATTTCTTGGTCTAGGACCTCGATCACGCCATATGCTAGTTAAAATAGTTTGGGAGATGAAATATTTATTTCTTTAATTAGGTATCCAATAAATAATTATGATTTTATACGAAGAAAACCTTGCAGTCAAATAAAAATATTAAACACAGGCGCACGAAACAACATGGTGATCCATTCTTTTGATAGAACCCTATTATGCTATGCTTAATTATATACATAAATAACCCATTTTTAGAAGGTTTGGGGAACGCTTTCTCAAAAATTCTACATTCTGATGCCAAAATGACTTCAGATTCGTGTTTAGTGGATCCGAAATTATGGAGACTTAATCATATTCACGTATAACCGAAAACATTGCAAATTTGCCTTTCATTAATACTTCTAATATTTTTACACAAAAAAACAAAACTATTCAATCTTTACCCACAAAAATAAACATATTTCACATGGGATGAAAAACAAATTACGATTCACCAGTTACATAACGATATTTTTATTATTCTCATATTTTAACACCTATTGTTAGTTAAATACGTTTAATGTTTATTAATTCATATCAATTCGATATATCGTGTTAAACCACACTTCTTCTGCTTGTTGTTATTCGTGTTACTAATTAGCATCTTCCGAGGAAGCTACTGTCGGGGATTCATTCCCCAGTTAATAAAGCTTAAAATCCCTTTTTAATCATATGCAGCCAGCCTATATAAAGGTACTGCCATTATTAAATATAGCAGTATCAAATTGATCCAGTCAAGATCAAAATGAATTCTAAGATTGTCTTATTTTTCGTAGGATTATCAGCTGTTTGTTTTCTAAACGCAAATGGCGAAAATTTGCCCAAGCCTGGTAAGTGAAAGATATTAAGTAATTTCCATTTTGTCATTTTTATTAAGGACGGTTTCATTTTGCTTTGAATAATTGTATTTTCTAGACAAACTATCAAAAATTATCAATATGTTCTTCGAATTCCAATAATATCTATCTTGTCAAAAAACTTATACAAAAACTAGAAACTGATAAGAACTCGGAACTTACCAACACTGGTTAAAGTATTCCCTTTTACATCTAAAGCTGGCTACACAGTACGCAGGTGGCCTGTACAGGCCGCCTGAAAAGCGACCGGATTTACATGCACACTTCAAAACCAAAACTGAGAGTTTCTTCAGTTATCTTTCAACACGGGAAAATGTAGTGTACAAGTTTATTTCTATTAAAAATGAAACGTAAAGAATTAACTTAAAAGCTGCTTCAATAGCAGCAATTTCCATGAAATTAAAACCCAAAAAATCAGTTAAAAACAGATAAAGGTGGTGCAAGCTGATTTTTTCTTCTTATCCATATATTCTTTAGATTTAATGTTTTAATGCGCCATAAACATGGATGTGCTTTATAACTTTCTATAAATTCTCTTAAAAATACTTCCTTTATAGATTCCATGTTTGATTCGGACATGTTATTTCAAACATTTCTTTTTAAACTGAAGAAACTGGTCACGATCGCATCCACACTGACAATTTTAACACGTATGTGCAGGCAAATTTCAAGACTGCGTAGTGTGTCCGAAGTTTAACAATGATTTTTATTACAGATGTATTAACCCCTGAACCAGAAATAAAGACGCAACCTAAAGCAAGTAAGTTGGTAATATTTCTAAATATTTTTAAAGTGTAACAGAAGCAGATTTCGGTATATCAAAATTAAATGATAACAACAAAACAAATTAATTAATCTAGTAGCACACAAAGTGAAGATGAAAGTAATATTTCTTTTAATTTTACTTTTATCTACTGAGTTAGCGAGATTATTTGGTTGTTTATAAATTGCTATATTTCGATTTTATAGAGGATGAGAAATCTCAATTTCTGATTTGTTGAAAAAAAAAAACAATAATTATGACAACTTTCTGGAAAACCGAGAAGAGGTCTTTCTGTCAATCTCGATGTACGTGAATATAAAATGAAATTTCCTCAGATCACGCTCTACCCCATCCACCTGTCAGTCCGCTGGCGTCGTTGACTAAAGAACAACGTGCGCAGTTTTGTAAGTTTTTTAATGTTTAATTCAAAACAACAAATTTTGGTGGTTATTATTACTTTACGTATTTTTATTTTTTCAGTGAGAGAAGCTGGGTCTTCAAGACCTAATGGTGAGTCAAGAAATTATTTTTTTAATACTTATGTTAATTTTTCATATATTGCAGAAAGAATTCGTAGAGCTGATGGACGTCCTTACCTGCCAAGACCTACACCAAGACCAAACTTATCTTAAAAATAGAGAAACTTTTTCCTCTTTACTTAGTAATAATTTGTTATTTAATCTTACAGTATGATTAAATAAACTTATAACAATTTCCACCCGTATTCTTTTTACATGTTTATAGCTCAAATTAATTAAGAAAAAACATTTACACAAACATAACGTGAATAATATAAACAATCATCACCGTAAACTTTGTTCATCAATTGAATCGTTTCAGTAAAATTTTTACCAAGTTTAAAACAAAAATGAGCTTCTTGTTCGATGCTAATTTTTGTATCGATGACACAAGCACACTGTCATTTCAGACGCAATAACTCTGCTTCTATTCGTCCAAATGTCATGAAATTTTGACAGTACATCAGTGAAGGACCTACCTTTCCAACGCATGTACCTAATTTCCAATAGATCAGAAGTACTTATTTTTGAAAAGTCCTGTTTGCTTTCAGTTGCTTTATTTAAGACCAAACATTATGTAATAATTGTAATACAGAGTATTGCACAAATATAATAAGACATATGAATTAGACATTCCTTGATTTGTTAGACCCGTTGTTAGTTCCTCGTATTTGTTCTGTTATAATTCCCAGACTTTGGTCTGCTTCATTTTTAATACTTATTTGCAGTACAGCACTCGTGATGGTTTCTTCATCAGGTTCGATGACATTATATATCCATTCCAAATAAGCACTTACTCTTGCAGAAATTTTAGGAGTATCTGCATCACTGACAGCACAATCGGAATCGTCACCAAAAGATATCACTCCAATCTGAACACCACCGACCAACAGTGGTCCTCCAGAATCTCCCTAAAATTGTAAGTAGAGTTTTAGAGAATTAGAGAATAAAATATAGCTAGATAGATCTACCTGGCATGAGCCTCTGTCATTTAGGGGCCACCCAGAACATATTTGATGTTTTATATTCCTAGTTCCAAAGTAGCTCTTTTCGCATAAAGCGTCATTGTAAACAACAACGTCGACTTTTTGAAGAATATTGGAAGTTGCTCCAGCTGTCTACAACACAACAGTATACCTACCACTTTTATGTTTTTAATAACGTAACGATAAAATCTTTATTTTTCAGGTTTCGTAGAAGCTACCATATCTCGTGGATATAGAATTCTATTGTGTGTATTATAATGTCCAAAACTGTCTTGTTTATGGGACAAAATTAATTAATATAATGTATGTGCAATTAAAATCTATGAAATAATTAATTCAACGTACTTTTGTTAATCCCCATCCCACCACTATCCCATACAAAGGCAATGCAGTGGAAAAGTTACTTTCTGGCAACTTTACGGGCTCAAAGAATGACGCAGGAATTGTCTCTACTAACTGAAACAAAATTACATAATGATCCTATTTAAAAGGTATATCGTTATTTAGTATTCACATTTAGTATAGCAGTATCTCTTATTAACTCCAAGATGTCGTAATTGTTACAGATTACACTGTCAATATGAATTGACACTGCGTTTGGATCATCTAATTCAAGAGAAGTAAATTTAACTTCCAATACATCAAGTACATCCCTAAAAATAATTAGAAAATGTTTTACTAAATCTTATTAAATAACATATTTATTATATAAATCTTCTATAAAATTAACTAGTCAAAAGTAGAGTTAACAGAAACTTTCGTAGAAAATCATTTCTGTTAGTTGAAAAAAAAATATAAATATTCTTATAATATTATATTAATTTGAGTTAGTACAAACTGTATTTTTTTATTGAGAATATATGTGTATATAAAAATCCTACAATAAATTAATATAACAAACAAGCCATATATAATTCTATATTTACTCTTAACTTATGCCCCGTTGTATGTGTAAATAAATAAAACAATAAGTACTATCATATATTGGTTGCAAAGTACAAAATAACATTATCCCATACCTAATCTTACAATAATTTTATTGCATATAAAAATTACTTGTTCGGTCCCTCATAATTAATAATTTTGTATTGTTTCGTCAATGAGTTTGTTTGATTTAGAGTGTTTAAATATGGTACTATCTTGCGTATACAAAAACTACACGGACGCAATCACTTCACGTCCATTCTTACTTCACAACCACTGGTCCATTCCTTCCGATTATCATGGATGTGAAGTAATTGAGTCCGTCAAGTGTTTGTGGACGTGAAATAATATGCAAAGTGAAACTTTTCGTCCGGAAACGAGTTGGTAAAACTGCGTTTATAGCGAGGTCGACGGAAAAAATGTTTGCAGCACTTACCAATCATCATCACAGACACAATGTGCAGCAGTTAATATGTGAGTTTCGTCCAGTATCGTTCCGCCACAAAAGTGTGTCCCATTTCTTTGTAACGATACCTAATAGGGAGAAAAAAATAATTACATATGATAAGATAGAGTAAATAGAATTTTATAAGTGCGATGTTTTATGAGATGCGTTACTTTTGCATCAGCCGTAACCCCTTAAAATTAAAACACCACTTTTCCTCAGATCGCATGCACTAATGAAATACGAAATAAAGAAAGATACAATAATCTGGAAAGTCAAAATTAAAACTATTTTATTTATTAAACGTTTTTCTTAGTCTACTTTTGACACTGGCAACAATGTTTAAAAATAGATAAATAATGTTATATTAAGAATATCTATAATGAATTATTTGCAATTTGAAATGATTTAGTTTTTTCAGTAGCTACTCGGAATAGGTGTATGAAAAAATGTTGTATCAACAATAAAACGTATAATGAGCGTTATAATAACTTACCACGAACTTAAATTCGTTTTCACTTGCATCAACCCCGTTGACAATACGTTTGTAAGCTAAAGCACTATTAAAACAATATACACAGACCAATAATTGAGAAAAGAATGTATAAATCATTATTTTGCACTAAACAATATGGAATAGGTACTAATAATAACTAATAAATAGCGATTTTGTACTATTTGTACAAGAATTTTTACTTGGGAACAGTTATAAGTAAATCATAATTATGTACTAAAGAGCTCGAACAGTATTTTTTTTTAGTTGATGTTACTACCTGTAATAATATTTTATTGACACACAATTCTCGATTAAAAGATCCTTTGCGCAATAAAGATAATGTTTAGATACCTATTTAATTACTGAAGATATACTGTTCATATATTAATATCTATAATTTATGTAATTATATCGTCGTCAATCAGATTATATCAATAATAAATTTTAGTAGTGCTATTATAAGCATCTGATTTTATTATTTTTAATTGTTTTATTTATTGTAGTATTTGTACTGTAGCTAATTTGTAATAACTAAATTTGTTCTTATGAAAAAAAGTTAACTTATCAACAAACGAAGCATTAACGATAATGATCGACAGCAAAAGGTGGTATCAATACTATCAGATACCTATGCCGATAACGAAGTGTCTATGTGCACGCCACTGATCGAGATATAATTTTTAATACTTTTGATGAATCTAGTGCCTTTAGTACTCAATTTTCTGTTCAGGTGTTTACATATAAACAAGTAGAAAAGTTCCATATTTGATTATTCTGATACGATTACAAATAATGTATAAGTACGTGATGTTTTCTTTTACTAGAAACAGTCTATGATCTATACTGTCAATAAGTTTCATTCGTACAATTCTATTTACATCGATCATCGATATATAGATATTATTAGGATTACGATTCTCATTACCAAAATCTGGAGGTTGGCAGGTATTACCAACGTCTTCACAATGTAAACTCTTTATTGGTGCAAAGAATCGTCACCATCAGAAGCATAATGAGAATAAGCCTGATTAGTCAGATTAAATGGATTAATCATGCGCGACGTAAGTTAAAACGCTTGTGTATTGACCTTTAGGATTTATTGAAATTCAACTACCAAATTCGAAGGTAAAGCAAAGTGGTGGTTTAGTACTGGTATAAATTTGTCAAGAGTTGTATCGTTTGTATTTCTATCGTATTTTTATCGTTTTTGTTTTACAAAATGTTTAAAACAAAAACAGAAGTAGACAAATATGTAGAAAATTGTTCTAAAAATTGTGACGAGACAGAGGTAAGCATTTTTTTGGTAACGATGATAATAATAGCACTTGGGAACAATTTTTTTGTATTAGTTTTTGCTTCAATGTACAGAATATTTTATCAGTTTCATCAAATACTCTCTTATAAAAATCGTCTTTGCCAAATAGTTTTGTACTCTATTTTTGGATTATTTCAATGCAAGGGATATATTCATGCTGGCGGAAATTTATGTAGAAAAAAAAACACTTATAAATAAATTGCCACACGTGCAGATATATAAATTCAAATAGCAAAAAAAGCTGCAATAAAATATGCGCCCGATTGAATTGTAACAGAATCACATCGGCGTTTTATGTTTTGAGACTAATAGTAGTTTACTGATTGTGTCTGTGAAATTTATTTTTTTGATAACACTGATACAGTAGAATCTCTATAATCCGGCACTTCACTACACCAGCATACGGCGTTATTTTTTCCGCGTTTGTTTGTTTACTATCCTTGAAGAATACAGTTTATACAGTTATAGTTTAGTTGAAAGATTATTTTACAGAAACATAAAAACATTACAATATACTTATATGTATACACATCTGTAATATGTATGTATCTACGTACTTTTTGTTCTTAAACAATTAAAAGTAACGTTTTTCAATTTATTACTGTTTACATATACATTTTCCATTAATCCGAATTTTCCAGTACTCCGGCACTCTTAGGTTTTTAATGGTGCCGGATTAGTGAGATTGTACTATACTCCAAATATATTTCTATTAGGTATATTGATAAACACCTCTTATTTCAGAGAAATAAAAAATGGTTATCATTTGCAAAGATGTATTTTAATGTTGCTGAATATGAACAAACTTGTCGTTACCTCACTTCATATTTAACTGCTACGCCAAAATCACCCGAAGGATATAAACTGCTGGGAAATGCATTAAAAAAATTAAGTAAAAAAGAAGCTGCACTTGAGGCTTATAGAACTAGCTTAGAGCTTGATCCTAAGCAAAACGATTTAGTTATAAAGGGTAAGTAAAGTATTATAAATAGTTGCATTCGGGAAAACGCATAATCTCATACATTAAGGTAACAATGACACTATTCATTAGTCATTTTATGAGTGGTTTAAAAATTATCTAACTTAAAAGTTGTACTAACATAAGTGGCTTGCACATAATAGATAGATAATTAGGAAGTTTCCTTAGACAGAAAATGCAGAGTTCCATGTCACTTAGTAGTCTATTCATTAACTTGATGAAAGTCGAAAAAATGATGTCAATATCTCCAAAAATGACGGAAATATTTAATTTCTTATTTTCTCAAAGCTTGCGCGTCGCCAGAATATCGTGTGACGTCATATGTTAGGAAGGCTGAGCGAGCGCGGCAGACGATCACTTGTGTTAGCCAGAGATTAGTGCATTAATTAGTAGCCTAGATAAATGATAATGATTAGTAGTATTAGTACATTTGACCGGCTTTGTTTGCTCATGCTTATTGTTGCAATGGCTATTTATTTTAATGCATTTGTGGAAAAAATATGTTTGTGACGATTCTAGCAATCTCCCTAAAGTTAATATTGAGATGATGAAACTTTCTGGCAGTCAAAGGACCCCGCACAAACCTTATGCGTTTGTTCCCGGTCGATTCGTCTGAAATTTTTGATATGTTGTACTTGACACCCTCTTGATCAAAAGTGTTCATAGGCCCAAAGTCTGAAAATGAACAGTTCGAGATATCAAGGACACATTACCAAAAAATTGCATATTTCCATGAACCTAAACATGAAAACGAGCACTTGAAAATAATTATTATCCATTTTTTATTATTTATTGGATTTAGATCGATTTGTGAGTATTCATAATATACAGGCTGTTACAAATTCGCTTCTCACTACAGGGATCTCGAAAACGGTAAGAGATACAAACTAGCTTAAATGGCCCAGTTCAATCAAGGGGACCAACATTATGCCTCTAAAAAATAAGGCTAACATGATTAGTTTTCGAAATATTTGAAAAAAAAAACGAAATTTTGGAAATCAGATTTTGTTTCATTTCGGCCTTGTTTGAGGTGATATTGAAAAAAGAACACTTTCTCATGGTCACTTTTTGTCCTGTATCGAATAGCATAATCAATTTTTATATATAACGTTTGGTCTCTCCAGGACCATCATCAGCTTCATTTTTTTAAATATGACCTTAGAAATTTTATTACATTTTTTGCAAGCCTTCATAACCCCCAATACACCCGAACCAGATTCAGACGTTTTGTCTCGAAAAATTCATCTTCAGTGTATTCGTTCCAAATTTATCAAATTTTTTAATTAGACTTCTTTGTTTATTGAATTATCGGACACTGTATAAGTGTCGTTAGACCCTGTCAAATCCATCTATAGTAGGATCATATTCGATGCAAAGTAATAAATCATTGCCTGTCAAGGGAACCAATGCAGTACATTTTTAAGGGTTTTAGAAATTGAATAATTTCTTTATACATTATGAAGGGACGAAGGGATCAGTTCACGTCTGGCACCCTTGTTACTACAAAAATTCCTTTATTCTCATAAACTATTTATTTTAAATGTAATTTAAGATAAATCCAATTTGTTTTTTAAATTCCACATATGTGCTACATTTTACCTCTGTACACGCCGCTGTTGTTAACTTGTTTTTTGGAGGCGCTCTCTGGTTTCCGAACAAGTTCGCCAGGTTAGTATTTGACGTATAACCGACCACTTCGTACACTCGATGCACCTGGACGACTACAGCTACTACCAGAACACAGTGCGCAGAGTTGCCAGATTGATTTTTACAATTCCCCCAACCACAGGAGTAAATTCCCCCATAAACTGGCATTTTTATTTATTAAAATTAATATAAACATCATACCTACGTAGAAATATATGTAATGTATTGCATTACGTACTTAAATTGCAGTTTCTGAAAATATTTCTAAAACATTTACATCATTATTTTTTCTTTCATACATTTTCTCCGAACTAAAATACTGGAGCATATTTTCATTAGGTTCCAAACATGTACAGTCTGTGAAACTCAGTATCTCAGTACGTGCTGTCTCACTCTAACATGCACACGATTGGTTGGAAATTAATGCTCCAATGAGATTGTCTGTCTCTCTTGCACACTCAGCCACATTTTTCGCAATGGTATGCTATTTCCAGTAGTACGAGTATATATTCGAAGATACTAAACTACTGTAGGTATATAAGTACTTCTCGGTCATAATTATGAACTATGTGATATACCTACCAATACCAATAGTACCTTACCATACATTTTACTCCAAAAGATATCCAAATAAATAATTCATCCCCAAAAA